CAAAAATTTGACAACTAAGCGTTGATTCTCGAAAATTAAAGATCTTTTTGTCCGAAGTCATTTCTCTTGGAGTAGATACAACCAATTTTTGCTCACACGTTTCTAGAAGACTTAAATATCTACTAGCCAAAGTTAGTGGTTTAAGAGTCTTCAGCCTCGAAATTCGCCAGATTCGCTTAGATACAACCAAAATACAGAAATACATTTCAAAAACATGTGTTCATCGTTTTAAGAAGTGTGGCTTCGAAACGCTTTTCTTATATTAGTTTTCCTTGTCAGTTCTAATATGAAAACTTATACCCATTTAACTAGAGAAAACCCTCGCATTCATCAACATAACCCAAAAGCAAATAAAATAGACCCCAACAATTGTTCTATTTTGTAATGACTGAATATATAACACATCGAAAGAAAGACACAGCCATTACCACACTGGAAGCAGATCTTGTGATAAAACGTAAATGATAGTCATAGCTTACATCCTGAATATTCGTATATTATAAACGCAACTATTTTACCGCTTCATTGTAAAATAGCCCATTAGTGACTCTCGTTTATTTTTTACCGAGTCAGTGTCCTCTGTGAGCCGCACGAACTAACAACAATATCACTCTAAATCAAAATCTTATAAAAACAGGTTCTTTGTATTGACCCTAGCAATATTTTACCATGGGCATAATGAAGAACGTAACTGGACAACAACGGCTGCCTGCTTTCGGCTTATTAGATCATCATAGGACTGTTCCTTTTTCAAACGGTACTTGGTCGTAGCCGTTCAACTATTTTGTTAAATATCACCCAGACTATAACAGGCTCATCGCCTCGCTTAATAAAGGATTCGTCATTTTGAACAGTTGGTACAGTTTGAATAGACGTTAAACTACTTGATAGGACGCCGAAAAGTTGACGTTGCATCTTTAGAACACATGCTTGTAATGTAAGGTTTATCTTGAGGACGCTTGGGCCTACTTTGGTGATTTTAAAAGGGTACAGATTGAAGCCGGTCAAAGGCAAGCCTTTGTTAGATATGCCACCGTGGCGGTAATGTTGTACAGTAATTATAAGTTTCATTTTATTAAATTTTTTCTTTTTTTTTTTAATAAAATTAAAAAAAAGGACTTTGTATACTCATAAAGGGCGTAACCAATAGTACGTGACTCAGGATAAGACCGAATGGGGCTCAAGATTTTATGTCTGCCGGTATATTAAAGGGTGCTGGATCAAGGCGGTCTTGAACGGTAAAGATCCTATGAATGCTGTTTCTCTATCGTTTCAGAAGGCGGAGCGTTCTGTTGGTGCTCCATGGATAGTAATATTATATACCTAAATCGATGTACAGTCATATTCTACTAGATAGGTGTTATGTGATATTGCCGCCAGCGATACCGGGGCATATCTTAAGTTTTTAAGGCATTTTACGGATAAGTTTTCTTAGCTGTAATGGAAAGTATAAATGTCCCACAGTATCTAAAGCAAGTACCTCAGCATAAGGCTCTCGAATGACAAAAATTAGGAGGAGCGTGCAGCACTCAACCTCCTGTATGTAAAAAGAACAAAAAGATATTTATTGGTACGGTTTATAAAAGCAATTTGGAGCGCTAAGCCGGGTAGAGAGCTAGAGCTACGATCGAGAAATCTACATACAAATGCTATGTTTCACTTCATCAAGCAATTACATTTGGCCAGCGTGGACATAATTTAGTTTACACCCGTAATATAATGAATTGAGCCACATCATAGGTAATTGGCTTTAGGCAGAAGTATGCGTGCTGGCAACTCCAGTGCAAATAGGAACTTATATCTGCGATTATTAGGGTATTATTAAATAAATATTGTATATATAGTACACATTGTTTCATCCTTACTGATAGAGGAGGCATTATAGATAAAAAAAAAAAATAAATAAAAAGCATAATCATTAAATTCATGCACGGGTAAAAGAAACTTTTTACACACAAGCTTCAAGTAGGCTTAAAGGAAATCTCGTAAAACTTTTTTTCTCTTCGTTTTCTAAACTAGCGCTGCGCTTAGCACGAAATCGAAAGCACCGTACGCTGATTCCTGCCAGAATACGCCAAAATGACGAAGTAAAATTTTTCTAATGCCATGGTTTCTTTTTAAGATACCCACAAGTACGTTTGAATGTTTTAATAACTGGGTGATTTTAATTCTATCAAATACTCATCTCTTTACATGTAACAAAAGGTTGACTTTTGGTGGAACCCCATACGTAACGGTTACTTGAAAAATATGGTCAGCCAATTCTATTTTAATCCATTTTCCCCGATGCAGCCGTAGTTGCCACAATAAATGTTCATTAAGATATAGAACACTCGAAATGCCCCATGTCTATAGGTGGTATAAGGCATGTACAATTTAATAACGTGAAGCAAACCAAGATAGTTCCAATTGTGCTGTTTCTCTTTTTGATCAAATAACTTTCCAACTTTATTTTTGAAAAGTTAATACTATACAAACTATATAATAATTTCTTATGGGGTTTATTGTAACATCACGAAAATTGAAAATAATGAATATTTTTTTGGGATCTTGGGTATTTTAAAAAAGTTATAAATAAAACGTTTATAAAAAAAAAAAAAAAAAAGTGAAAAAAAACTATCAAATGCTGTACAAAAAGGTTCCACAGTAAACATAGATTGATATAATTATAGTCACCCTAGACTAAACGATTCCAGAAAAGGCTGGAACGCGGGAAACAAAAGAATAAAATAATTTTTGCTCAACAGTTACACGTGTTTTAAACTTTCCTCTCATAGCGAAGATTAGCCGGAAACATTCGTGTTACTTCTCGTAATAGCACACCCTTCGTCTCAAACACCACCATTAAATTAAGGATAAATTGAAAAAAAAAATTATTATATAATAGCATTGCAAGCTATGTCTAATAATCAAAAGCTAGCAGAGTTTGTATATATATAGATATTCTAGGATCTCGAAAATGACAACAAGGTCCGCGGCTAAGAAATAATAGCAACTATAAGTTAAGCAGTGAGCGACCTCCTGCTTTTAGGGATACAAGCAGGACAAAAAACGATTTAAAGCATCTAATTTCCTGCCGTTTGACAATATCGTTGGCCAATCACTGTTGCGGGTCCTAGGCACTCTGAAAAGCTTCCCGAAGTGTTCAGATATAAGGCGTAGGAACGTGAGAGGTAGCAAACATTGACGCAGTGACTGTTAACCGAGCGTCAATCCCCAGCTTAATAGTACGGCGTTGTACTGTACTATGTTGTTGCTTTGGCTGCCGATCAGCGGCACAGATACAGTTACAAACTGATACGTCAAGTTCGAAAGGAACGCTTTTTTTTCTATCTAACAACTACAGGACGCGACAGCTGAGACCGTGGCACGGCAGCACCGAAACGAACACCAATAACGGCAACAACAACAGCAGCAGCAAAAGGCAAAAAAAAACAGTTTGTCTAGTTCTTGTAGCTTTTTGTGTTTTTGCTGTGGTTCTTTGTAGAAAAACATGCAGCGTCTATGGGGATACGATATGCGACGACGAAGGCTTAACCGGCAGTACAGCGATCGTTTTATTCATCTCGGTCCTCAAGGAAATGTGAGGAACATTTGCATAAGAATGAATGATCTTCTTGGCTAGACAGTTTACCACTTGTCAAACAATAAAAAGACACTTTGGTAGAAGTCCCTGAGCTAGATAAATGGTACACTATTTAGTAACGTTTATATAGTTCCAGGAATAGGCAATAGAGAAAAAACCTACTACAGGTTATGTTGTTCTGACCTGTTGATATATTTCTGATATAGAGTTGTAGACTAGTTGTTTTCCAGCTGTAAATCGAGACTGGTCAATGACCAAAAATTTTAAGCTTACGATGACCCACGAACACCCCGTATTACCTCCTGTGTTCCCGTGATAGGTTAGTGGGTAACGTATTTACCTGGTAATCTTAGGGACACGTTGTAGTCTATGTTTGAACTCGGGCATAGAGAAATTTTGTTTCATGGTGGTAACCAGCTGTGTCTACTGGAACGCTTAACGGCGATACCGGACGTCAAACTCGAAACATAGAGAGTCAAAAATACTTTAAAAAAACTTAGTCTTCACAAACTTCTATTGCCTTTTTAGACTACCTGCGTAAGCCAGACGTATCAAAAAAAAGCGGTCCCCATAGAAGGCGTCAGAAAATTTACAGCCAAAATATAATTAGCTTGTTAAATAATCTACTTCTAAATCATATTTTGAAAATGAGAATAATTTTTGGATAATAATATAAAAAAAAATAATAATAAATGAAAAGGAAATGAAATTTAAAAAAAAAATCGATTCGTTTTTGTAACTAACAATAACTATATAATTCCTACTTTTTGTGACACTGTACTTGGCAGATCTATGGTATCAAAATATTTGGACCTTCTTCAAATTGCACTTACAACTATCACAATAATAAAATGTTATCTAAAAGTAAACATAAAAAAACCGTTCTCTTCAATATCTTATAGAACATTTTAGTCTTACTTCAGTACAAGGACTAAAGCTAAGCTAACAAGGTATTCTCAGTGAGAAGTAAACCTAATATACTTAATTAGAAAATCCACTATGTGCCTCATCAACACTAGCTTCTGCACAGTTTTGTGCATCGTTGAATGTAGCTTTAGGAGCTTTTGTTGTTGTTTTAATGTTGTCAGCCTTTACTACAAGAAACGCACTATTTACAGGATAATTGTGTTCTCACAGGCCCCGCTTGCTCAGAAGGTCTTGAAACGGTAAGTGTGTAGCCGATATGACTCATTTTTTTTAATTGCCTATTTTCGTTATGTCTATCAACGAGCTTACCTGAACTCGTGTATTTTCTAATTAGACACTAACTGGTACAGGCTCCATTTGTTTTTTGTATCCGTTAACATCTAAAGAGGTTGCGTTTTCTATACATAGTTTCACTTTTTCTCATATATACATATATATCGACCACCATATTCTATCTACTGCTATTGAATATAAATTAGCCACATTAAGTATGTAAACAGAGTAATGCTTCCCATAATCGGTTTATTGCTGTGAATAAAATTGACCCATATTGAGTGTGAAGTGGCACAACTTCAATGAAGCCGCTTCAAGTTAATGGCTATGGTAGCCGTTATTCAGTCCGTGGAAAAACGTTCTCAGGGAACTTTCCTAAAAGGTTTCCTGGTGGAAGATAGTTTGCTACAATATAAGCATTATTACCATTAACTGCGTACGCCATTCCAACATGTGTCGTATCCTTCCAGACGAGCTGAGTGAAGTGGCCGGTCTGTTCAGTTGAAAATGGGCATAATATGAGTAATTCATTAGAGTTGTGACATGCTGCCCATCGGCTCGCTAAGATCCGGTTTTCCTAAACTGACTACAGCTCAAAAATGAACTTGGTTTTAACAAATATGGGACAGATTATTATACGAGATAGTAAGTAATTTGTACTAATCAATTGCATAATTCTTGTTCTGGAACTATCGATATTAGCAAAACACACGTTCAATTTTCGAGAAAAGCACGCGACCCATAGGCTACATTTTAAATAATAATCAATAAATGTCATTTCGGCAAGTCGAAATTTGCAAACCTCATAAAAGTTGCTGGGCGAAGGATCTGTATAGTTCTTTATATAGTTGACCTCGTTGTACCACGAGTCCACCGCTGCATCGGCTAAAAAAGAAACGATTTAGTATTTGGTAATCATATTCTATGCATATAATTCGTCTGCTTGATATCTCAACATGGCGCTATGAACGCGTGCTGTCCTCTGTTCAGGCTTTAAGAACGTGCACGTATAAGGGAACGACACGACGATCGTGTTTTAAACTAACACTTTTCGGGGCTGATCTAGCCGAGACTAATGACACGTGCAGCGTATATCTTTATATAAAATAAACTCGAATGATCTACGTTTAACCTTGTTCATTGTGGCCATGCTATTCATAATACGCGTGTAATATATATCGGTATAATGTGAGACGGGCTTGAACTTAAGTATATGTGCACTATATATATATGGAACTTGAAACTAAAGATTAATACAGTACGATTGGTCCCGTAACTACTATACTACGTGATAACTAAAAGGTTTTAGAGCCTACCCGAGATGACAGGTTCACGCGAGCCCGTCGACGTGAACAAATTTTCTCCCCAGCTTTTATCGTGGCTGTGTTCGAGCGACTGTGTCTTGGCCAAATGGTTCGCATACGCTTGCGCCTTGCTGGCGCACTGCAAGCGATATCGTCATTAAATAATAGTCCATACCTTTTTTGACAAACTCTACAAATACAATCAATCAATGAAGCACTGTTTCCCATCACACTAAGTTGCCATTAACGTTACCATGTGCTAAATACTTCTTTTCTCTCTACTGTTTGTTTACTTCTATTTACCATTTGAAAATGCTCACTATTTGTAGAAGTCCGCTATAGTTTTTCTACAGTGAACCAAATTTTCACATCGAGATCTTTCTTTAGGTCTGGTGTCAGCCGCCTGAGATCGTTACGTAACGCCTGAAGGCAGGTTTGAAGGAAGACGGCTGGCGAGGAACTCGTAAATTGGGGAAAAGATAAACCGCCGTTGTATAACTATCAGTAGGCAATTGGGTCTATAGGATTCACTCGAAAATTAGAAATTACCCAAACGCCCAATTAACTAAGTGAAAAGCGCAAGGATCCTAGCTATTCACTGTCTCCTAATATCTTGCCCTGTACCAAGCGACATGCAACTACAATGGCAGACTTCTATACAAAATTGTCATAGATAGCGATAGGTGGCGTTTTTACGTTGATATAAAAAGAACTAGATAGCTACTAAAGGTACACCTAAATCCAAAAGTTCAAGCTGATTTCCGTTCGACAATGACCTGAATTTGCTTCTAGTGGCAGTAAAGTCACATACACTTGCAAATGGCAAAGAAGAATAACTATCTAACTAACAAATTTTTGTAGATGGCCCAGTATCGATTGAAAAGAGCAGATACATAATGCAAGTTTATCCTGTTCCACGACAATGTCAGGCTGGACACGGCGAAGGCCGTCTTAAACAAGCGTTTAAGGGGAAATGTTTACCTTGCACCCCCTAAGTTCTTCAGACCTCGTGCCGATGAATCACTACCTTTCTAATCAGTAACTAGTGAAATTAGTAACCGTCTATTATTCAGAAGAAAAAGTGATTAGATAAGTTTTTGAACTCTAAATCTGAGAAGATTTTTACTTAGAAAATATGATGATGAATACGTAACAATTATATTTATTAGGTGAAAGAACCGATACGATGTATGTTATAACTTAATAATTCGAGTAGAGTAACTGCGGTAATCATACATTGTATTAATAACTATAATAGCTTAATGGTGATGCAACACCTTAGAGGTAAAAATGTAATATTTACGCTCTGTCGATTGACTAGTACGGATAGACATCATAGGTGCTTAATACCGAAGCAGCAATTGAATAAGCACGTGAGTGCTTACTAAGCCATTTTTAGGTTCCTGTGTGGACGAAGATATTCACTTAACAAACCTTTGAGCACCATTCAAGCGGGGGCACTCCATGCAGAAATCGGTAATAGTTATGCCTCTCTAGGGCTTTTCTTTGAAAGTCTCCCTTCGTATGTTTTGTCTTAGGCGCAATCGTCTGCAAACAACACGAACATAAGTAGAACGTTTCAGCAAAGAAGATCTATAATATTGGTAATTTGTTGTTTCATTTTGGTTATAATCCTATTCCACCTGAAAACTGAGCTTCCTTCATTTCACTCCGTTCGATTTGTGACCTCTTCATCTAGACAATGCATATTTCTATACTTATGATATGTCTTCAGATATAAAGGTTCGGATCTAAAGAAGAGAAGCCTTTAATCAATCGATCGCCTATATGACGGACAAGGGTAACCTTCGTAAATTCTTTTCGACTAAATCTCATGTCTTGAGACTCTGTTACGTCTCGAAGTTGATAATCTTTCCTTTGTAAGCCCTGTAAACCCCCTAACGGTACAAACAGTCCAGGTCGCATTCGCTTTACCAACTCGTACGCGAAGATCTCCTATTATTTTCCCTTTATACACAATAGGTTATTCCATAAGCGACCGGATGCACCGGATTAAACGTAGTCTTGACTCTAGAAGCAGAAGGATGTTCCAAATGATAGAACTTTGAATTTTTAGCTTGCTGCATAAGTTATTCGATGTTTAAGCACCACGAAAAGTTCGAAGATTGACAATTTACCACAGGGAGCTCTACTGGACACTTGAGGAAAGCGCCTTGTGGTTCATCCAGATTCATAGGGTTAAGATCAGTCGTCGCAATGGTTGTAGTTGTAACAATCTTCTTACCGTTCTGCAAACATTTAAATACAGACGTTCACAAACTTAAACGTAATAACGATCTTGCTTCACACTAGCCAATACTAGAGATAAGATTATAGTTTATTTTTTAAAGTTCAGACGTTTTTTAAGTCCATGTTTTGGTGCATTACATCTCAAAGGTGTGACTTGCCTTCACCACGATAAAGTCTGCCGTCAAGAGAAAAACTCCGATTATCACTTAGCATAATTTATATAATATTGATAGTATCTCGGTTTGAACTAAATATCAAATCAACTAAGTACTAAAACTCGTTTATATTTTACCTTAATTTCAGTTTTAACCGTGGTCTTCCGTTGCTCCATTTTTGAAACTATTGCATAAGTGTCAGGCTGATTTTGGCTCGGCTTGTTTCTTTGGCCTTCCACGGAAGCAGAGTGTTAGCAAGAAACGTGTCCTGGAAAACCAACGGTTACGATATTAGTGAGATAGGTCCAGCATTTGTCACCGTAAAATCAAAACTCAGCTAAATTTGTCCAGCTCACGGCTTACCGTATACAACCTAATGCCATCTGTTAACCTAAACTGGATATGAACCAACTTAGCGATATATATATGATTGCCGTTGGGATATCCCGGGCCTTTCCTATCAGGCTCTGCTAGTATATCTGTTATTGTCTAGGTAAAACTCCAATTTGAAATTCAGATAGTGTAGTTTTTTAATGTCAAACGAGGTTAGGCGTGTGTTTTCGAAACAATGTCTTATCGTTCATTCTGTTAGCCACATTGACAGGGTATCATTTCTATGCCCTGTGCTATATATTAATGTGACTATTTTTGCATTAAGAACTCGACCGCAAAACAGTTCTAAGTGAAATGCTTGGAGTAATGACGCTTTTACAGTTCGGTGTTCTATATATACGTCATGTTATTAAGTAATTCTATTTATATGAGCCATCACGATGTGAACTTAAAGCCAAATACAACAAACTTGATCCCAAATATTGCTAAGCATTGTTTCTATTAAAAAATAAACGTAGGACGATGTTAATGTATTTCTAATAGTATCTATTTGTTTTTATTTGTCTGCACGATTAATTTTTTGCCCTGACTAATGCTCATGGCCTACCGACACCTACCGGTGTGAATTGAACAATAGTGAACAAAAGCTGCCTTACGCCGTAGCACGTCAAATATCGCACTTTCTTCTTCTATAACCCAACAAATCGATGACGGATTAGTCATAAATACGTCATTTGGCACAGTCTTTTACGGTATTGACACTTTTCGTGTACAGTTGTTCGAAAGCAAGTTAAAAACACTCGAAATGTTAAAGTTTTTGTCAAATCATTACCCAACGTTATTCTCAATGCTGCTGTTCAAAAATAGTTTTTGCAATAATTCAATAAAGTTTGTGCCTTTAGTCTGTACGTGTACGAACGGGTTCAATTTGTTAAAGCATTTGGCTAAATCGAGCTTGAGACTCGGACAAAGCGTACGGTACAAAATAAAGGCTACTAAGCGAACAGCGAATAACCCACTTGGGTTTAGGAAAAATTGTAGATACGGTTGAAACTTCAAAAACATCAGCTCAAATTCTTAACATCTTTAGGATGATTTCTTTACAGCTCTTGTATGTTCGTCTTGACCGAAACCGAGCCAAATTCAGTCATACTCGTACGTGTAGACGCTCTCACAATTTCAATATTGTCCTAGCAACACAAGTTACAGCACTTACTGCAAGTTTGAGCAGTCTCACAGTTCATAATAGATGAGCATGTTAAATCGGTGGGCAAGGACATTGCGGTAAAGCTGGTACCTGGACCTGTATCATCTAAATGGGATGATATTGGTGGCAGGCATGCACTCTCTTTGTGAGCGCCGATCTATGAAGGTTTGTTTCTAGGTTTTTTTTAGGTTTTATAACAATAGGAAAAAGCTAGTAATTGCAAACTAGAAATCTATCGAGTATTTTTGTTTACTTTATATTTTTGAAGTCCAATTTTCATGGTTATTTGTGTGAATTTAGCTTTAATTTTTCGCAACGTCAGAAGCTTCGCCCACAGCATTTCGTTCTGTTACGGCCTTGACATTACGTTACTGCGGCCCAGTAAGCTGGTGAAGACCCTGATGAAGCACTGGTTCCACTATAAGTAAACATTGTTTCGAAATGGTACGTGAGTTATTGAAATGCAAAATGATTGCGTTTGTATAAAGCATTCTTACATTGTTGTCGTTAGTTCGTTCGTTTAAACGAGTACATTTGAATTTACCGGCACAACGAAAATTAGATAGAATCCACGCTCGGGAAGTTCACTTTCAAGCACAGCAAGGTCGAAATTCGCTTGTGTCCAAGCATCTACGTTACGCTAAACTTCGCTTCCTCAAAAAACATTCTCAGAAGGTTGTTCACACTTCATATTGTCTAAACTTTTGTTTAATTAAAGTTGCATCGACGCATCACCCGGCATATAACTTTTGTTAAGCCTACATAGCCGGAAAGAGTAACCCAAGTAAAAGCGCAATAGAAGAGGTGACAGCGCCACGGTTCCCGTTAAATTCACGCCTGTTACGGTCTCTGGTTCCAGGCTAGCACAGATCTGAGCTGCGCTTGTTCGTTAGATAAACAACTGTTCCACGACCGATCTGTTTGCTCAGTTAATCATAAGCTAGGAGCGGATACGCAGTTCGGTTCCGAACATCTAATACGAAAGCAATTGACAGTACGGTCAATAGTAAATGTTTGTTTTTGCGATGCACAGGAATCAAAACACATTCAGTACTATGGCTATCCATGTTGTCAGCGGTATTGTATTATATGACTAGCCGCATTACTGCGTCGTGGCATTATGATGCACACTTTAGCTGATTTACAAAGCGTGCATACTATATAAACTCGACCAGAATCTGCTTATGGAAATTTCCGGAAGTATTTACGTAGTGAATATTGTTTCTGAGCGCTCGTCACCTACTAAAATAACGGGACACATCCATTGTCAGCGGTATGTAAGAGTCGCTGTGGTCAATTCGCTGCTACCCAGTTGCTTAAGCGTATCAGACAACTATATCAGCAGTATTTCTAGGTACAACGCCATATTTGATTTTGGAAGCAATACGCAAACCAAACGAAAACATGCAGTAATAATTCGTTAGAATCGCCTACCATTTACGTTCCCCATCAACGTTGAGCAAAACAGGATAATAGTTCTGATGTACGCCTAGGACAGGAATCAAGCCTTAGCGAACAACTTAACAATAGCGGCGCAATGGCTTTTATCATCATTTACAAACTAGCTGGATGGAACTGAGGTATCGTTGAGCAAGGTAACCAACGTAACTTAGGCCGTTGCCTCGATAAGCGGTCATGCCTATAGTCAATTGCTTTGTTTTCTCCTGCTTAGCGATGACGGTCAGTATCCTAAGATGACTCATAATGATCAAATCAATGTACCTACGAAAGGCAGATATTCTAACGTTTGGCGCAACGTGGAGTTTCGTACTACGATTTATTGCATACGTGACAGTTTCTATGAATTCGTCAAGTTCCACACCCAATACCGCCATCGCAAGAGCTGCTGGTCCCCTATCTCTGTGGCAACTGTAACAGCCTGCCCAAGGGTTTTCGTAATATAATAGTGAAGGTCGTAAACTAATGGACAATTAAGCACAGTGACTGGACGGGTCATAGGCAGGCGACAACGGCCTATTAAATTCTACAGTGAATGATAACGTTGTCGCTGTCATGAACGTTACGGTCACAGGGCACATAACTTTATGGGGCCGTAATGCCTATTTAATCTCAATGTGCCTACGCTGACAGGCCGCTGTGCAGCTTGTCATTTAATGATACAAATGTAAAAAAGAATCGTAAACCTTCAATCGGCAACATTTGCAATAACAGTTAATTTTCCCTTCATAAATTATGCAACGAAATATGTTGTAAACCGAATCAATGAGCTTTAACTAAAAAGCGGTCCGGCCCATCATTGCGAAAGATATATTTACTCAAAAATAGTTTTACCACACACTTTATCGATATATATATATATGCAGTAGTAGCAAGGGAAATTAACCCGCCAGTTCCTGACCTTTGACTCGCACTATTTAGCAAACAACTTCTATAAAAATCGAAGAAAAAACAACTAGATTAGAAATATACTTCAGATATATTTTTGGATTGTAGAGGCACTCAAGTACAATTTGTACAATGCTAGACCACACTGAGCTAAATCAGTTGAAATTCAAAGTAGAACCGGGTATTATTAGTCTAGTAATCTTCAGCATACCTAAGAAACAACGTAGCAAAATAGTGCTTGATGCTCAGAATTGAAAAGCCATCATAAAAGGATCCGCCTTGTCAAGCAAAGCATCATGAATGCTTGTAAAGTCAATGTCTGTAAACGAAAATAATGATAATAATAATAATAATAGCGGTGTTTGACTAGGATCGAAAATTGAAAGACGAAAATACACTCTTAGCGATCACAGTTCCTGCGCCTTTCCACGAGTATGCAATAATGCTAATAGCATAAAAATCTGCTGGCACGGTTTACATGTATCTGTATAAGCTTTTCCACTTATTTTGAAAAAGGCAACATACAGAAGTACGTAACAGCGCTTTAGGTCAACTACGTAAATTATATTGGATGCGTAACTCACTGATGTTCTATTCCTCGACCTATTTATCCAACGCTGTAGTTGTGGATCAGAATTTATCGAGTCTTTGTTTAAATTATCCTTTGATGTCTTTGCTATTGATCGGTAGATAAATGCGGATAGTGACTAGGTCTCAATAAACCGATTCGCCATTTAATTGAATGCTCGAACCTGTGTTAAGTTTATATGAAACGCTGAAGCCATTGGAAATTTCTACTAAATAGTTCATCTTTTTCCCGGCCCACAAAAAATTTCTTACGGTTTTATCTGCTTACATTGTATCAGTAAAACGACAAATATCAATGAAATTAGAAGATCATGGAGGTGACTGTGGGGTGGAATTGAGATGGATCGAAATCTTTCTTAATGCTGCATCCTCGTTTCGAATTTGCAGAATCTTGTCACGCCTTCCAAAAATGGCAAGCACCAAAATTTTAATTCTAATTATATTCGTTGGCTACATTCACGCTATAGCCTAACGATTGGTATAGAGTTTGCAAAAAGCAGATAAATCATCGGTCGCTTCGAGAATATATAGAAATATATACGAATGTTCTCAACACATTTTGCCACTTATATCGCGAGCCAATAACCACTTATTAAACCTTAATGTTAGATTTTATTCCGTCCCATTCGGGTGTGAGAATGTAACGGGGCGAACAGATTTAACAGAGAGGTGAAGGCGGCCGGGCGGGCCCCCGGCTCTGCCCACCATGGTACTTTAACGTCACTAGCGACATTTTTAATCTTTGATATTCAAAAGAACAAAATTGTAACAAGGGTTTCCCAGTTACTGGGAGGATCGTTGTAACATACCTGGTACCACTAGAAATGTAACGCAGCTGGTTCGTCGTCTTGGAGCTTAACTTGTTCGTAACTATGGGAAACATTATGTATATAGGACTTTTGCTCATTCCTTTGCCCTTGCCCACAAATGTACCGCCCTGCTGAGCTGGTCACGGAGTTGACGTGAATAGGACCTGCTAGGGGCAAGTGGGCGCCCAAAGGACGAATTCGGTGCGGCAGCGGCATACTCCATTATCGAGCGTCAGAGGAACAAACTCGAAGGGAATTGGCGACTATTGCGTTCCCTGAATAAAATAACAAATTCATCGAGAAAACAGCAGAGACATGGCAAAGTTATTTCAGTTTTAAGATCATGCAATAACGTCAGGACATGAAAAATAAACATTTTGGATTATTTCTTTTTACGTCAATTCCACCATTGTATGAGCCACCGTTGTGTATATGAAGGAGAGATCTCTAGTCGTTAAAGTTAGAAAACATATGCGTATTAGCTATTTTTGTTTAATTTCTACAATTGATTTAACCTATTTTAATAGCCATGCGAGTTATCTTTTTAAATGGCGAGAAAAAACAGCTAATCCAGCCTAGAGATGCCTATATCCTAGGCACATCATCGCCTATAAGTTACGTTTTTCTGTAGATATACTATGAAACATAAGTGTTTCATCATAAATGTTTTTCTTGTTTCGAACTCTGTATAAAGCGAAAGAAACGGTCAAAGGGTATGGAAGACGATAAAAAGAATATCATGCACAATGAAGAGCTTCAAGTTCACCAAAATTCCTTTTAGAGGATTAAAATGGCTGATCTGCCAATTTTTTTTTTTTTTATGAAATCGTTACGACCAGACAACAGTGAATCACACTATATTAATGCCGGTAATGCTTCAAATCCCCATAGGATCGTAGCTCTTCACATAATCTCAAGATTTTAGTTTCAATGAATATGAATATATACATATATATATATATATATATATATACACTCCAATACTTTAAAAAGTTATGAGTAGAAAACGGTTGAGTTTGTTTCAGAAGAAGAAATTAATTCAAACGGATCAGTATTAAAATTCAATGGTCTCTTTTTTTAAGGGTCACAGTGTTACGAAAATTCATCGCAAATCGGTGAAGACGTAAAAAAGAAGGCTTTAAATGTAAGCACAGTACATAAATGGTAAAAATAAATTGAAGCGTTGAAAATCAGCGAGAAAGTGACCGGATCCGAAAGGATCCTAAAGAATTTTAAAAGCCTTTACACGAAAGCAGAACTTGGACCCTAAGGCCTCTGTTGGCCCAATTCGTAATTTCTTGTAGAATGTGTTTTAGAATGCTAACTCAACTACGGCAAATGCCGGCACCGAGTAAAAAAAGGCCACCCGTAAATTTATTTTAGGCCAGTTGATAAACTGTGTGGTGTATTCTATGTACAATCTGTACGACTCTGATCAACAAAAAAAAACCCACTTGAAGTATATCCGGCTCAGACTCTACTGCCAACTGGAGACGAACCAGGCGAGAGAACGGCATCGCCCTGGAAAGAAATCCATGTGGTGGCACGTCGAGCAGGCCTGGAGATCGGGTGATAAAAATACTTGCAATGACATTTGCTGCCATAAAATACTCCCCGAAAATGAAACAATGAATAGTAAGTTAGGCAGGCTCGCTGTCCCGATGTTTCTCAAGAGACTCATGGACCGCTGACACGGCAATTGGGTTACTTGATGACAGCATCAACGTTGATTAACGCCGTGTTCTAAGTCCGTGTGATAACGGACTAATGCTCTAAAGAGGGCTATTCGTGGGCAAGCAGATCCCATAATCGATGTATGTCGAGATGTTACAGGTAGAGAAATTACATACGACAGTTCTTTATTAGCAGCATAAAATCGTTTCTGCAAATACGTCGTATGGTGAGCTGTCATGCCACACGTCTCTTTTTAGGTATATTTTTTCATTGGTTTTATATATTGTATTGATATAACTGACAAAAAGATAAGCCTATCACAAATAGGCCAAATCGCCAAATACAGCCGACGTCCAGTTCGACTTTGCTTGCTACCACGGATGTCCTTCATTATCAGTCATCCTCTTTAACGTGCTTCCTGATTTGGCAACAGCTTTCCCTTAATTTTACTTAACATTCAATATCTAATCAGTAACTGATAACTAAATAGAAAGGAACAATGAGCTTATCCATAGTTCCTATCAACGATAGTTATCATTTGTGTTCTATGAATGAAAGCGAATCGTGCCTGATCTTGCCATTTAGCTGATCTATAGTTCATGACAAAATGTGACCGTCCCGTCCAGACGTGACATTTTCTCAGTGGTATTTGCCCACGACGTTTGACAGCTCTGTGGAACAAAGGTACGACTTGAGATGCACTCATAAAAGGCTATCTGACTCACTCAACTATTAAGGACGTCTCGTTTACAGAATGTATGTTCCAAGCAGGACGAATGAATCATGTTACGCCCCATGCAACCAATGAACGTTGCCTATTAAACTGAACTTACTTAGAGAATTTTGGTTATTTTTATGCCTATAATATTTATATAGTACAACTAATAGTAACTTATTGAATGTTTGAATGTGCTGAACTGTGATAAATGGCTGAACTCCTGGAGGCATCAACCATAATTTTGGTGCCCGCTTATTTATTTATTATTAGACGATTGCTCAATTCTTCTCACAGTGCAATACAATTTATCATACTACATTCAACTATAGTGCCTTGGATTTATTTGCCTTTATTAATAATACGCTTTTTTCAATATTGCAAAAATATGGATATTAGGTACTGCCTTTTTTTTATTTTATTATTTTAGAATAGAGTTAATTACATTTATGGGTAGAAAAGTTCGCTCAAATGATAAGTGCAAACTTTGGCAAAATGGTAAGGCACCTGTGTGCGCCAGTGTCGTATACTATGTAATATATATACTATATAATAATAATAATAATAATAAATAATGCTTGATAACCCATTGTTTTTACACAGTACCTGATCGTGACGCCGCTTAACGAATGGCTGGATAGGCAATCGCCAATTGCACAAAAACAAAACTCCCTATTTAGTTCGTTATTCGATCTGCTAGGATTTTGTTTTTGTCGAAACGAATTTGTATTCAGTGCGTTAAAACACACCAATATTAAAAAGAATTACGTTTAAAGTATATTTAATATGATGATCCCGCTCAGCTACTTAGACGCTGCGCGTCGAGCTCTTTTATCACGAAAGAAGGAATAAGTTATTAGCAATTTTCGAAAGGCGTTTTAAATGTGTACATGTTTGTTTTTTTTTGTTGTAGCACTAAAGTCAATACATATAATACGATCTAAATCTATCATCAGCAATAACTCGCTGATATCCGTCAATTGAATTTGTCCTTAGCAACATTTTAGTGATGATGCAGTGCTAGGTACCAGTATTTTGACATTCGCAATTGTTACTCGTTTTATCATTGGAAGGGACGGTAGGTTCTTAGGCCATTCTTTGGAAAATTCAATTAAATACAATAAGAAAGTCTGCAAAGATTCACTGCGATTTTTCATTTTTTTGGTTATTTAAAGGCTGCATTCGGGCCTTTAATTCTAGAGTCTAAGCCGTTGGCAGACACGTCTTTGAATATCCCTGTCCATATTTTTCAACACGGTTTTAAAAACGACGATAAGAGAACCGACGTTAGCGTATCGAGATTCGTTAACGTGTAGCGTAATAACGTCTGATACGTAGTAACCCAGGGTTAATATCTGGGCAGAAGGCAACCAATACAACACGATCACATGCTCAGCCGGGTTTGCACTCTGTCACCTTGCTGGGAAACATGATGTCCCCTTAACTACTAGCGCAATGCTTCGAACATGGACACTTATTATAAATACCGTTTTACTTATAGTGGTAGCCATTTCTAAATCTCGGGTAGCCGAAGGGCGTTTCTACGACCGATTTTTACAACAAATAAAAAAAGCCAAACATTTTCTTGTGACCGAATAGTAGAACACACTCTGCGACTGCTCCGTGTCCGAAGGAGATAGAAACAAAAAACACCCTTATTCTTGAAAGGCCACTGCATAAGAAAGAAAAAAACCTTTTTCTGTTTGAAATTTTTACGAAGTAATCAAACTATTGGATTACAGTTGGTCGGCAAAGTGCGTATCGGATCCTTGGAAATACACTTTTCTATCTTTTTAGTTAGTTGCAGAGTCCTTAGAACGGGTTTCCATCCAACGGGATGTGTGGAAAGACTGTAATGACCGAACATTGTATTGACGAGAGAAAACGTCTGCTGTTAATGTCGCTACCGATTTTATAATCTTAAGAAAAGTATTTAGATAAATTTGCAGATACCCTAGCGTAGAAGTGAAAAGCCTGAATTGAAATTAGATGACAATTACTTGTTAAAGTATCGACGATCGGCAGCTGCCGAGTTATATTAACGTCATAGAAAGCGAGCTTTCTTCTCCATGATGCAGTTGTCAACAGCAAGTAGAACCCTGTTATCATCTGAAAGTTACATAGGTGTGCACATAACTATATAAAGACACAACGAGTAGACGGTCCATGCCGCAAACAGAAGATCTGTTTATTGCTCGTCATAAAGCGGCTTGGAACAACATGTAATCATCAAAAATCGGCCCTAGATCGGATGCGAACCGAAAATAACAGACTTTTGTGTTCCTTTAAAGTATTAACAGGCGAATTTGGGTATAATCATATCTGCCCTGTAGATTCCTGAAATACAGTAGAAAAATTTTTGTTAGGTCTCATTATTATAATTTTTCTGTAAATCGCGTTCCGTAACGTTCGACTAGACCTATAATATAATTAAGATATGTAGGTCACCTTTATTTTTTGACTACTAGCCCTTTCGATTCTTACGCTTTCTTCTTAAATGTAAAAAAGTAATACTTAATCGAAACAAACTTGTACCCCGATTCTTAAATATTTTGAGTACGGAACTGTCGTGGCAAGTATCGAATATGTCCTTACTGAAAAAAAAAAAGAATTTAATTTAAATTAAAATTAAAATTTAAATTAAATATACTTATACACACATGTTATTTAAAAAATCTATTTTAACGAATCTCGTAATTCATTCTTTTCGGCAACAAAGAGTTCACTAAAAAATGCTTTTTTTTTTTTGTTTTTTTCTCTAAAAAAACCCAAATCCGCGGCTGTATCAGTGTAATGAGAATGTGAACTTACAATCATAAGATCGTGACTATGAAAATACCTTTCAACAACATTGTTAAACACAGTTATATTTTACGACGTGTTCCGGGAAATGGTTCGGAATGAAGGCTGACTTTTATGAAGGGTAAATTGATGCAATCACGCGTACTATCATGTCCAGCCATTAGCCATCAATAGACAATAATGATCATTTCAGGACACGGGATGTTCCATAAATATTAGGGACAAGCGAAAGTCTACTACTTAACGGTTATGGGATATTATGTTAGGGTATTGAGGGACTACACCTACCAGAAACGTATTGGGGGGATAACCAGCTTCGCAAACATATATGAAGAAAGTTGACAGATCTGATGTAAAACTGTCCACGTACAATGTTCGCTAAGGTACCCCTGCTGCCGTTACACCATAGAGAATTAAATAACGATACAGAACCGAATACGTTTATATTGCTTATACTCTGCATTATAATTTCCGATTTAAAAAAAGCGTAGCTATGTTGTCAGCGGAGATGCGCACAGCCGTAAATAAGTATTGATAACCACACATGCGTTTAATTCTCAAGTTAATGGGGTGTTGTAAAATGAATTCTTTGTTACGTACTTCAGATAATAATCTAACCTAGATCAATTTTTTTCTACCATTATGCTGCCATCGTTTCGGCCACCGTTGCTGCGGTTTGTGTCGTACCTCGCCTTGATACCTTCTTCTCCTATGAATATGACGAAAAAAGGATTAGCGCTTCATCTGACATGTATGGTCACGTCGGCCCTTTGGCCCATGCTCCTGCCGCCAAGATTTTTGCTACTGTTTCGTTGTGGCTAAGGCCATTGCCTACCCTCCTCAGCCTTACGAGTAGATAAATACAGTACCAAGCAGTATCGTCATGAGGTGTCCGATGCCCGCAACAACAAAAATGAATCCTACTCGTTCACTAATGCTGAGGGCATTACCGCCACATTGAGTAGGTCGGATTAACGAGGCTGGAACTGTCCAGTCAGTTCCAGTTGCTGCGTACTACCGCGTTTAGCCGATTGCCATAAAAAGCGTGCCAGCTCTGGCAAAGGTGGCTGTCAGGCCGGTAGCAACCTACGGCCATGCTCCGGCCTATAGCCACCGCCACTACGAAAATAACAATAATTTGCGTAGCTGCAGATATAAAACTCATAATTTTTGAGGCACTTTTTATCTAGTCTGTAATGATAATATTGAAGGATGACCTATTAATCTGTTTAATTCGATCTTAAGTCATACAAAGTGTTATTTATATTAACTGGCTTCCTTCTCTTCATGCTCCCTATTATTTCTTTCTTCTATCGTGATCTCTTCTGCATATACAGCTTCTGCTATTTGTGAATAGTATACGTCAACTACGACACTGTTCGTTCGTCCTTAAACACGTAATAAAGTAAAAAATATTAAAATATTTAGTCTTTCTTTTGTGATTTGAAACGTGTCGTTCTTAGCATAAAAGAAATTTAGCATTTATAGAAATAGAAATATTCCTGACTGACCTTTCGCATTGCTGAGAACTATAGATGTGTCAGTGAAGATATGAGTAAGTTCTAGTTAATCAGCTGTATCGCGGACAAATTGCACAAGGCGGATCTCGTTCGAAATACGCACCGGAAAGTCTTGGGCACGCTGAAAGGATTCGCGTCGGGCTGACTGTTGATGATTAGATGCCCCAAGTGGCTAAACAGGATTCATTTAGGAAGATAAGATAACTGCGTATTGTCCTTGCTGTCCCTGAAGGCGTGCCTTTTAATGTGTACACACAATCATTTTTCAGCGAACGTTAAAATCTTTAAGCCAATGGAGGACCTGGTGACGTTGGTAGTTACGGTTCTGTGTGTGAATGGACTCATTGAGTTCCATTGATCGAATCATTATTAAGAGTTTCGATTCGACAAAACTATTATATTTTAAAATATTTACGCATTTCGAATATATGGCTCCTTCTAGTAGTGCGAGCTCTGTTACATCAGCATTCGGTAACAGCTGTTTCTCGAGTGGTGCTCCGAATATTTTGCTGACGATCGGGTTCCCGATCGATTTGGAAACTTCTGCTTTGTTTTGAGTCCTTTTCGAAGGTAGGTGTTTAAAGACAGTAAGTATTCTGCCCTCAAGTAAATTTATTATTTATTTCGCTTTTCTGATAAGCCTGCTACCGGGTAATTGAAATCAATCGGAGCACATGTAGTGGGTGCTTCTTCAACAACTTCCCCTTTTTGTTGTGTCTTCTTTTACTCATGATTAAGCATTATCCTATGTTGAAGTGTTCTTTTTTGCTCTAACTTTTTGGTCAGATGTTGACAGCATTTGGCGAAAATGTTATCTTGAATCGGATGAAAATGGAGTACATTTGCGGCACACAAGCCTTGTCGACGTCAAAAGGTGCTGCATACAAACCAGGACATCTATTCTGAGTACGGTGTGACCTTTACTTACGGAGGAGACGTATTTATCCGTTTAACAGTTGTTCTAATTTAAATGCGCGTCAAAGCAATGCCTGACGAACTCAATGAATCTAATGGAGTGCGCTCCCGAATGGAAGACGTCTAAATCTAGCTTCCGATAGGTAAAGAATGATTTTTTTTGTTTATTTTTTTTTGTTTACAACGCCATTCTTTTTATTTGCTTGTTTCTTCTAACAACTGTTACCGAAGTATTGACTTATGATAACCTCGAACATCTTCATTGTTTGATGACCTATTGCGTATAACACTATTAATTGTGTTTGCCGACAGACCAGTATTTATTTATTCATTGTATCTCCCATATCGTCCGAAGCACCCTCCTGTCGTTTGTAAGAATTATTTCCGTTTTCAAGTAGACAAAGGTGGGTTCATAACGACTGCTTCGACAGCCGTTGAGAATTTCTGGGCTATCTCATCGTCCGACGGTTTGTACTTGTACAACCGCTTAGATATTATTTAAAATGCGAATTGGATTTCTTTGACATCAGCAAATAATTTGATGATACTATATGATTGCATGTGTAGACGAAAGAATATCATCAAGTAGGTCGGTGCAGCCGACCGCCTGGCTACATCGTGTAATCAAAAACGGGTTGAGAAATGGAAAAAGCCACTTAGAAAACGGAAATTATAAGATGATCAAGCGTGCCATTTGTGCACGCGAAAGTAAAATAACAACCACATTATCCTTTGAAAAAACCTTTGATGAAGGTTACTAATGCGGCTCGACTTGAGCCCACAAATGATCCACATAGCGATTTTCCCTGAAGTATTTCTTGTGAGTTGAATTAACGAAGGTTAATTTTTTTTTAAATAGAGTTAGAATTCGTTAACCAATTGTGGAATTTCAGTATGAAAGTTTTTGGGGAAGGCACGAAGCGCACTTCTAAACAAGCTTTTTGGGTATAGCAATTATCGGGTACTGTTTTAAATGACAATGCTCACTAACCCCACAATTTCATAAAATCTAAATCTATAAAGCTTTTTTTTTTTGTTGTTAGCTGATTTCCGATTAAATTTCTTTACGTAGCGAAATCTGTAGAATTGTTTGCTATCGTTTTCCGCTGGTGGGAATTCTCTTTAACACTTTCAACTCCATTTAATAACATATGAAACAACTTCTCCCTACCAACAATTTATATTGATTAGAGGCGTCAATTTAATGGGAAAGCATCAAAAATGTAGCAACTCTTCATACCTCGCCGACTAAGTTTCGATCTGGTGCTACTTGCATATGTTACAAAATAACGCTATGTCAGATCAATCCCATACTACACAACCTGCGTGAAGAAAGATAATTATTACACACAAACAATGTAAAAGAAATTACAGCCCTAATTAAAAATGGTGTTGTTTGTAACGATGGAACAATTTAAGATGATTTTACGTGTTTTGGAGAGTCGCCTGTATTCTCTGGAACTTGAAACTGTTAACTTGGATATGATTATTTAGACTTTACGCGGGTGATTCCTGTGAGTCGTGGAAAAACAGAAAATTGAAGTAGTTTTCGAATATTGATTCCATTTTGAAGCTATAACGATGAATACAGTTTCGCCTTATCACCGTTCTCTTTTTCTCTTCTACTACCGATCTTCTATTAGAAAGGCCGTGAGTTGTTGATTTAGAAAAGTGCTAGAAACGAAATTTTGAACTCGAAGATAAATCTTGTGGAACATTCTATGCAAAAATAAAAAACAAATGTTCAAAGCTATGTTTTACGGGGATTAGCATTCAGGTTTAATCTATCTAAGATTTCCATACTAGCTCACCTCGGAAAAATTAATAAGGCGGAAAATTGACCGAGCGAGTGCGACATGATTTGAGCGAAGATTAAAGTAGAAGACGTGGAGATGCCTGGTTCTTTTTTACGCTATGAAAACAATCGATTCGTGTATTAAACAGACACGCTTGATAAAAACGGATTTCCCATAATCATCGCTATAGGTTGCAATTCTACAGCTGGAATATTTTACAGTGTCTTTTGGGCCGTCTAGTGCAGGTGCTCATACGTACCGATCTGTGAGCTCTTTGTTTGTCATTTAAGGCTGAAGTGTTCTCTCTCGGAGGAGACAATGGACGACCTATACAGTAAACCGCTAAAATTACTAAACAGAGTCAAACAACTCTCATGGTACAAAAACCCTCAGCGTTGTCCTGTAAGAATCACGGCGGCAAGAATGCATGAGCTATAGTTGAAAACTCTCTATTACTTATTATACTCACCAAAACTTGCTCCACAGATTTGATTTTCCTGAAAATTTTGCTCAACTAGAAAATTATACAGATCTTAAAATGATGTCAAGATTGCTTTCCCAAACTTTTCGGCTTTCACACCACAGACTTCCATTGATTGAAAATAAAAGAAGCATGCTTATGAAAAAGTTCTAATTATCTTGTATTCTACACTCATCGATCCAACATACTAGAGGCGCATTATATTCTTTAATAACAAGAGAAAAGAAGCCACTATGTTAATAATTTGTAACCGCCGTATAACAATGTATTCCTTATTTAGGCACCTTACGTAGATTTCGTCGTATCCACAATATATCTGAAAGCTTTTCTAAATAAACAAATCGTAACCCGCAGAACTTCTGCCGAAACCGAAAATGTTTTTCATGAGGTAAATGTAACAGGGAACGCGTTCTAACGTAGGGAAGGGTTAATTACTGCACAGAATTTAATTCGGCGCTTGCTTTGAAGATAAACGAGGCCGCCGCGACCCCATCCTGGAATCTGTAAAGATAGATAGCGCAGTGCACTAATACATAGTGTAACATATACAACAACCTGTAAGACTAACATAGTTAAAATGCATACATATAAATTTTCGTGCGTACTTATACATACAAATTTAAAACACAGGTGAACGCAGGTATGTACAGATGTATAAAAGGAACGACTAATTATTCGACACACTGTTGGTCAGCTGTCATGCCTTCAGTAAAATATTTAACATAAATAGAAAAACGATCATGTATTAGGTACGTTAAAACATTATCGACGCTTGCAATGATTTTTATCGCATTACTCAATGTTCCTCTATAAATGTTTACTTTGTGTACCAATTTCTTTCCGATTGATTCACTCTGCCGGGCTCTCGTTTTATCAAAATAATTTTGCACTATACATAATCCAAAATAATGGAATTTTTAAGCCAAGTATCTTTAAGAAAGCATTTGTTTTTGCAACTTCATATGTTAGAAAGAAGCTGTATTCAGCGCTTTATTAGTTGGGCGTCTCTACATCAGATACAATTGGGCTATAGATTACGCTACTATTCAAATTCATGTAGACTAATATACGAACACTCAGTATCGATATTTCGTATAACGATGTATTTAAAATAGCGCGCGTTGGACGCATTAAAGCTTCAGACGACAACTTGCATTATTTAAAACCGTAATGACTGACGTTATTATCATCATTATTGCAATGCAAACGAAAGGAAAAATGGGCCTTCGTCTCAGAAGTGTTTATTATTATGGTGTCAGAGATGCGGCGTACGCTATTCGGCAATGGACGCCATTTTGATTTCTCTCTCTTTTAAGGCGAAAATTTTTCCGCTGTGTACACAATCATAGGACTAACACATTACCGATCAAGCTATAAACAATTCATGCAGTACGTATCATATTCTCTTTAGGCAGTCGTACTTTGAAGCCGTACTATAGAACAATTAGAGGTATCTGAGCTAAAGTATTATGACGCTTACATGTAATAACCAAATATAGGCGTAGACTTTGAAGACGCTAAAGTAAATGTTATTTTCTATTATTTATTCTATTTATTGGCTACGGCGCTTTGTTCAATACAAATGATTAATTTCTGTCCGTGTATTAAGTAACGATTGAGTGCACAATATAAAGCAGCTGCGTACAAATCTCATATGATATACAAATTTGCTTATTATGGAAGCATTATTATATCGTTACTAAGCAAATCTTGTTAACACAAATGATTTATGCGACCAAGGGCGTAGCTCTTAGATACGTAGAGAACAATTATTCAGGTCCTACGCCATCGATGTCAGGACAAACGGCACAAGTGTCACCAGGAAAATCATTAGAGGTGGCATTTCCCAGCCATGTCAGACATGGTGGAGAACAGTCGATGAAAATACGCTAGGAAAATATCCCACCAAGAAATGAAGATGCTGTATAACGCCTTATTGTTATTATTATTGTTTCTCCTTTGAGCTCAATAACTGCGTCTCGAGCCACGCGTTGCTCATTTTTATGCAATAGATATCCCATAGGAGCGTATAGATACCTTGTATACACGGACTTGTTGACGCATTCTGGTTTTGAAGGAAGAACTTTAAACGCTTAAGCAGTAGATTTCGGTATGTATATAAATAATGCCATAAGCACTGATTCAAGGTAATCGTTGTTTATGACATTTGACGTTTCCGTTTCAAACACAATCAATCATTCGACTATTGGACTGTCGAAGATAATATCGTTATCAGTATCAACAATAAGAAGAACGGTAGTTCTGCATCAGATAGATATTCAACGCGACTCGTTGGAATATCTCTTTATATGAGTTAGTAGGCCTACACAGAGGAGGAACACTAGTGACTGTTTGGCCGTAACGGCAAGGCCGGACAGACCTTTCACTTATTATTGTAGCGTAAGCTATGGTCCATTATATTAGTTAATCAATTTAATATAGCATTATTAACTATTATAGTATAAAGTGAAATTGATAATAAATGTTTTATATATTTTTACCGGTCTTTCACTGAGCCTATCGAATCGATTTGATTCGATAATGCGAGAAAGTTGTTTGGTAAAGTGGTACAACTTAAAATCTGTAACTTCCTATGAAAACAATTTAGAAAGGAAGTGTCAATGAGCCGGAAGTGATTCGGTTGGACAAACAGAGTTCCACGGCATCTGTATAGTGTGACTGTTACATGTGATCTATCTTGGGACTACATTTCGTCTATAGTCGTCTTAAGGATAACCTGTTCAGGCGTAGTAGTTAAATCAATAAGCTCAATCAACTTTCCTTTACTATCCTTCTCACTACTAAAAATTACTGTCCTTCATAGCCAGTTTCAATTGTTTGTCCTATGAAAGATTGAACTAAGAAAGGGCGTGTATTCTTAGGACGGAATCGACAATTCCGCTATGGATTGATTGTTATGAAACAAACGGCCGGATAAGTTTCACTAAAAGCTGATTAATTGGCATTTGATTGATATATCCGCCATATGCCACGCGGTGTCTTAGCGCAATAGCTTGGATAGAATACATAACGCGAGCAACAAAACCGTCAATTCACGTAAAAAAAACGTTAAGTTATTAATATACATCTAAACATAAAATAGGGAGTCTAACACATTAATTATAGTAGGCACTTTTGATATCTTCACATGGTGCGTGCTTAAGACAAAAAGTAGTACAAAATTTCAGGGAAGTCTGTAGGCCGATATTCAGATTGATGAATCGTCCTTTTTTTTGTAATTGAGCTATTTGTATTTTGCTACCTAAAATCGCTTAAACGCAATACTAAGGCACCATTCCTTCCTGAAAAATAAGATACGTATTGTACTGTAGATAATTACATTTAAAAAGCCTTGTTTTAGTGTATAACGTAGGCATGTTATTTATAAATCAGTTAGAAGCCTAGCCAGGAAGAAACTACTGTGAACATATTATTTTCCCTTACTTGAACTATAAAGGATCGTCCGGCAGTTGAATAACGTCGTTTAACAATGGTGGTAAGTATAATAGCACTATAGGAACTGCGATTGGACAGCAGCAGCAGCAGTAGCAAAAGTCAATCAAAGCAAAAAGCTCCTCAATGTTCCATCACCGTTTCAAAATGGGCCCGGTAACATATTTAGTGTATGGATTTATACTATTACGCGCTAATGATAAGTACGAATACGCTTCAGTCGACATTGGCTTCACCGTCGCCGTCGACGCTGCTGATATAACCGCCCTCGTCACCTTATCTTGATAAAATGCCATTTTGCTCTGTCGTGTGTCAATTCTGGACGGTGAGAAATCGCAAATAGCCTCGGTAGTTGCCCCGAAAAGTTAATAGTATTCGAAGCTGCGGTTGTATAAACTGGACTGGTATTATACGAACAGCCAGTGCTGTTTCTGTCCCGTCCGCCTATTGCCTTAATCGGCGATGTTGTTGTTCCTACGAGGCAGGCTAAAATAACGACAGCTTCTTGACACCTGCTGACCACATTATTTACACCATGACTCGGTTTTCCTAACACCATTGTTAGCCTTAAGCTTCTATATTCGTGGCGCATAGTCGGTCTTCTGGCCCCTGATGGGTTCCCAGTAGCCACCGGGGAGCTGCTTGGCCTGATTTTGGTGCACACAATTAATTTGCCCGAATGAGTTAAATTGTACCGATATAAAAGCAGCCAGCTCTACAGCCGTGTTAAGCAATGCCTATTTACGCGCACTGATACTGTCGACTGTAAGGGCAACGGCGTAATCATATTCTGGAAATGCGGGAACAGGCTGTACGCAACTAGCATTACCATTAGCACCATTTGCAGTGGCAGTTTACGATATCAATAGCAATATCGATGCGAAACTATAGACAACTAAAGTCATATTATATATAAACACATAGATCAACAAGAAAGGGGATCTACTCAAAGGTTACGCGGTGGCCAAAGTCGGCCATATGACATTCGACTGTGCCGACAGCAAAGGTACTTTTGGCCCTCTCAAATAAGGAGGCGGGGTACCGACCGGCCGTGCGATATCTAGCACCAGCGGATCGAATAGATAAAGGCAAAACAGTGAAAGGAAAGAGCTGTCTCTCTCGTTGTCCTGCCTGGCAGCCTATCTGCCTTTTTGGATATTCATTGCAGTACGCAGCACTGGGACTACGATCCCTGCAAATAAATACTTTGCAATAAACTAACATATGTCGTTCGTGTACGGGATGAGGGCATCGTGTGGCGTGTTTTTGCCTGTATGAGTTAGCTCCGCAAAGCGTACTGTTTTCGGTTGGATTCCCTGCTGCCGGGGGCTTAATTAACATTCGTTATGGCTGTTGACAAGTAATTAGTGTTATCACTATATAAGCACAATTATAACAATCATGACGATCTTGATTATTATTTCCAAGTATACTTTATACGAGTTAGTATAAAATAGTGCCTATCAGCCCGCCCGTATTTATTTACGTTTATATAACTATCATTTATTGGGAAGGTGTGGTTTGAAATAGTTTTGTTGCTATAAAAAATATCAAAATATTTGGCCACGTTCAAGTCTAGTCGATATATCTATGGTATTTATTAAATAGTTGCAGTTCTAGATTCTTGTGAGTATCACGGCTGGGAAGAATAGACATGTATATACGAATTAAGTGTAAAGCACGGATACCTTACATCGTACACTGGTTATTCTACCCCAATAATATCTAAAATTATAAAAGCATTGAAATCTAAATAACTCCACAGGTAACACGTAAGTATATCGAATGAAATATTATAGTAACAGCAGAGATGTATACTAAGCACGATCGTGCACGTAAACGCCGTGTCGGATTCTGCATCTAAGATACAGTTGCACTGGCGAATTTCTAAAGATCATGAAGAACTTCGAGAAGCATAGACCGTACAAGACACTTAATTTTCATTTGGTACGCATATTTGCATAAAATAAAATTCGGCTGAAAACATATAATCTAGCAAATATATAGCACCTCTAACATTTTTGTTTAGTCATCTATCGAAGCGCGACGTTTGACGTATAGCAGAAGACAAGTTTCGAAGAGATTGAGGTTTTCGGAATATCTGGGTGACATATGGAACTCCCGAGTTCAAAAATGACGTTAGCGCTCAGACTCTATTGACAATATGGTCGGATTCCAGTACACGCTTCAAAAAGATACTGTTAGGAGTCAAACGTTTTCGTGCCTGCCTTTTAGCCTTCAGAATATACTAGATTCCTTCCGGTAGCCATCCATCGAAAATAAAACTAGCCAAGCGTTGCTAAATACAACTAATTTCAATAAAGTTCATTGTGTGCTTATGACTAAGCTTACCTTAAGAGTCCACCATCAGCTTTGGCAGCAGAGCGAGAACTTCAGGACTGATCTATTTTTGAATATCTTCACGCATTTTGCTAGGTATCGAATCCTGTGGGAAAAATTTAGGACGGACTCGAATAGTTTAACAACGTATTTGTTTTGATTTTTACATGATTCAAGAAAGAGTTCCTACTTACAGGTACTGCCAACAACTTGAATGAGAGCTATCTAGATGACATAACTTATCTTGTAAAAAAAATCCGCCATTTACGCATCATCACGCAAAGTTTATGACCGATTTTTTTATCAATAGATACCCCCCCCCGTTACCCTAGATAACAAATAGCAGTTGTTGTTAATGATACTGTGAAAAAGACATTGGATCTGTTATAGCAGATGTCTAGCAGGAGCGGCGGACGTCGATTGATGCGTGCGTACATTAGCAAACACCTAGAGATAAGCAATTGTACACTATCAGTGATATAAACATAAAAACGCTGTCGCATATAGTATCTCACATGTCAACCGAACAAAGTTATCAATCGAAGTAAACGAATTTATCGAGACATAAACGAAAATAGAAAGAAAATTCCAGTAGACAGACTGACTACACTCAGTGTTACAATGAATCCTATCAATTGGCTTTTAGTGAAGTCGTCGGCTTAAAAAAGAAAGAAGTCATCAACGGCGACACTCGTGCCGGCTACGCAGGCCAGCAAGAAATAATAACAGAGTACATAATTATCAATAGGTTGTAATTGTTTGTTGATGGAAACAGCGACGACATCAACAACAGGTGGGTGGTATATAACAACTACACACATATAATCTATGTTCTCGGATACTTTGGTCACACTGTAGAAGTGTAGCAGTGCGTACATATAAGCTTATATTATATGTAAATCGAGTTTTATAAAACAGCCTGCCAATTAATAACAACGTAACTGCGAACATTTTACCCTTCCTTATATTACGAACATACGCTGGTTGGAGCTCCGTTAGCGTACAAACGGATTTTTGACGATGACTTTGGGTCGCTGTCCTTTGGAATACGTGCGTTTATTTTGTGAGACCTTGGAAAGGGCTTGGCCAGCAAGTGTTTAATGTACGACCGTATATAAATCCGTCGGCAGGCAAATGGCGGTCGTAGCCACTTGTAAGAATAGAATTTGCTGTCAAGCATGATTGCCAAGGTAGAGTGGGCATTCTCCGAATCTTGCGTTGACATTTCTGCAAAAAAAAAGATCTCTTTTTAACAAATAACAGAACAATAACATAATAATAACAACAATCAGCCCTATCATATGAGGAGGCATGGCATTCTATTCGATATTAGGATTCGCCAGGTTGATCGGGACGCCTAAAAAAGTGCAACATTGGATTGTGTTTAGATGCTTTAAACCTAATGTTTGAACCGTATTTCTCACCTTATATATCTGCCTTTTTTGCTTTAGGTTATCGTCGCTTCTGTGGCCGTAGCGGCCGCCCACGCTACCGAACTTGGCCTGGGCTACACTAGCCAAGGTCTTAACTCTTACGGACATGAATACGCCGCTCATGCTGCCCCTCTAGCTTATGCCCATGCCGCTCCTCTGAACTACGCTGCCGCCGCCCCCATTGTAACTAAGGCCGACATTGCGTACCCGCCTCAGCCATACCGCTTCGGCTATGAATCCGTCGATGAGTACGGCACCAAGCAATCTCGCCACGAGGTTTCCGATGCCCACAACAACAAGAAGGGATCTTACTCGTTCACTGATGTTCACGGCATCTCGCGTCATGTTGAGTATGTTGCCGACAAGCTCGGTTTCCGTGCCAGCATCAAGACCAACGAGCCCGGAACCGCTCCTTCGGCTCCTGCTGCCGCCCACTACAATGCTGCTCCCTTGGACGTAAAGACCTCGGCGGCTGCTCCTATCACGGCCTATGCTCATGCCCCCGCCTATGGACATTACTAAATGTTACTGTACAATTTTTTGTCGATGCACCTTGAGGTTCTTTGATTTTTAATACCTGACTTGGGGCGCAACCAACAGGCGTATTCACTCCTTCATTCTTTGATATTCTGATCTCCTCCACGTAGCTGGCTTTATCATATCTCGTAGCTTCATATTTTCTGTATATTTATACCCTACAATTGTTGTTATAATATGCATCTATACATGGTTCTAGAAATAAAGATAAAACTCTCGATATACATCTACGTGCATTTTTATAAAATATCTGTGATTTTCATCGCTGACGAAATAAATTGTATAAAAATGATATATTAATGCCAGTGGCAGTCGAGCCATACTTTCCATAATTTTATTTATCACATGTTATAATCCCAGTCATTCAGTTATCCGTGCCTACACAAAATAGCTCATATACTATCCCCCCGCAGAAAATCTCCAGTCAAGCTTTACTTAAATCTTGGCTCTGCTAAAGGTTGCTTTTAGCAACCTTGAAAAAAATTTCACACAGTGTACGGTCAGAAGACCGAACAGAGAGTCTGCTACTTCAGAGCTACACGATCGCGTAGCGATAAGCCAACATTCCTACACTGTGCTCCTAATTTTGCGTATGATCTCTGTGTTTGCTACACGTCGAGCAGAATTTTAGCACTTGTTTGTCCAGCAAAGATGTTTGAAAAATTATTTTTCGAAGTAGTGATAGCTTTATGCGCATTGTACTATACGTATATCGAATATGCGCAGCAATAGCAGTCTCCTTTTTTTTTTTTACCTAATTTACGTTTGCTTGTCTATCACGGAAACAAAAGTGGGTAACTAGAGGAGCGTGTATGTGCATGTGTTCGCTCCTATCACATTTGTTAGCCTTGTAACTAAAATATATCACGATGCCTCTATAGGAAAGCGTACTTAACATGTTGTTAGAGGTATGCTTCACTACAGATCAATGACATATGGTATAGACAATCGGGAAGAGGATAAGAACGATATGTATGATGGACAGAATAATATTTTTAAGTTCTCTAACTCATTAGCTAATCTGTTAAGTTAGGAAAATATACATTGTAGACAAAGTATGTCAAGTTGTGTTCAAGTCAATTGGTATATATATATATATATATATATAGAGATTATATAGAAAAACTTGCCATTCCTCTTTCGTCTGATACAGTATGGAACTTGTTCTGAAAATACTCAATGCTATTAGACGCTATACAGATACCGTCAGATTTTTTATATATAAATAAAGAAGACGAAATAATTGCGGTAAATAGAAGGATCATTGAGAAGTAAGACGTTTTGAGGATTTGGTCAATGTAAATGGCACGATTCACCTCAATCTCATAGTACTGGCTTGTGATTTTCGTTGGGCAGCGCAATCTAGCTTAAGTTCATTGGCAATTTTGAAAGCCGAATATATAACATATGTTGTAAATTCGCTTGAATTTAACTAATAAAAATTTTTATTATATTCGGGCCAAATATTTAATGATACGTCCTAGTCTGTAGCTAATGGAAACGTGGCCAGCTCTTGAAAAACCTTTTCTTTATTAAGCCGTCTGCCTACCATTATCTATCCAAACACTTCTTTTTGCAAATCAACCATCAGCACATTGAGGTTCACATACAAAAGGTACATCCTATAATCCATCTTAACTATATTAAAAAATGCAATTTTTTCGCGATTATACAAAGTCTTCAAATAGTTCAATGGACGAATAGCAGTCTTTCCAGACCAAGATATTTCCAAGTAACGCTTTATGATAAACGTTGTATATGCTGTATTAAGACTCCGCTGAAGTTAGTCGAGGGGGGAATCAGGATGCAAATGAGATCATAACAGCAGAAAAAATGTTTTGATTCGAAGTTGTCGTATTGGAAACAATTGAGCTTTTCCCTTAAATCTCGTTCACCGTGGACATAATGTAAACATTTGGCAAAGCTTACACTAAAATATCCTAAGGTCAGGATGAACGAAGTTTTGTAGGACCGTAAGTAATACCGGTGTTATAAAAATTCTACGTCCAGTAAAATATAACTCAGGTTTCGAGCTCCGCGTATTGCAGGTTTTAACCGCTAGGTCTTTCCGTCAGCCACTTCTTTATGATCACATCATGTAGGTCCGCGCGGAATGTTAAATCCTCGTGGTTCTTAGTTGCTTGTTGACTTCGGTAACCCCGACGTACAGAGCCCTCTTTAACAAGCCACATCTAACAACCTTCAGCCTCTCTTTCGTCAAATGCTTTTATCTTGGCTTCAATATAGCCGCTGCGCTGCTGTGAACAAACGAGGCATCTAAAACCCTTCCAAGTCAGAAATCGGCGCACTTTTTTCTGCACGAGGATGAAAAATCGGCGTACGATGATTCCATGCTTCTATTTGGGAAAGTAATTTCGATCGGCTGCTCTATCTTTGCAGCTCGTCTGCTGGCTGAAGTCGTTCCAAGGTGCTCTAGTGAGTTGTCCAATTTCGGATTCTGAATTCAGAATAAAGTGTTATTATCTTCCACATTCAATCGGAAAAAGCTACTGAACAACAAAGAAATCCTAATACTTGACCAACGAGGTCACATACCCCGGTTTTTATTTTCAGCCACCTCGCCATCTCTATCCTAGGCCATGCAGTGATTTAATCAGTAAAAGCTGGATGCAATCATAGAGTATGCTCAGAGGCATACGTATTGGAAACAAAGATGACAATATAGAAGAGGAACGTACGCGTAAATTTCAGCGTTCGGTGTATACACATAGGTCTCATGCGTTTGTGTTTTATACAGCAGCGATTTATTTGGTGTAATACGCACCACACATTTGACAAGTCAGAGTTCCCAGCTGTAGAGCTGGACGAAAAAGAACTGGCATGAGCCTCGTAATATGACGTCTCATTCGGAAATACAAGGCGCCATATGTCAGACTTTCTTATATAAAATTTTCATAAAAAACATCAGTTAAACCATGGAAAATTTTTCGCTAAACGGGGGTTGCCATGCTGTAACCGCATGTCTTGGAATGACCGAGTACAGTGATCTGTGAATTTACCCATGTTTCGGAATTAGCAAAAAGCCATCCGACGTACAAATCCTATTGATTACAATATAAGTAGTTCGAAACAAAAAGGAAATTTCATCGGATTTCCTGTATGGTATAATTTTTGCACTCTGAAAAAGGCTAACTGTGTCTGCTAGCGTGACAAACGTAGCGAAATTCGCAAAAATGACCTCACGACAAACGCAATTCTAGAAATCTTCACTAAGATACGTTTGTTACGATTTTTGCGGTTGTCACAGAGTATGGTGGAATAGCAATTTTCTACGTGGTCAGTTTATTCAAATCAGTAAACAATAAGTTAATAGTTATTTTGTGCACTTAATACACTTTTACATAGGCATGCAAATTTGTACGTTTCGGCATTTTGCAAAGGAAGACTATCATGAGTCACTTCAGGAAAAATGCGGGGGTACTCGGGTATGACAGTACTATTAAGGACATCGATAGAAGTTGTAACCTATTCAACATACATACATACATACAGCAAAGGCGCGTTATAATGTATCGTTCCATTTTTTGTAACAAATGAGTGTAGATTTGATGATTAGGGCATACGTACGCGTGATTCACGTGCTCAAACAGCGTTGACGTTTGTTCTTGTAGTGCAAATTTTCCCGAAACGTACCAGCCCCAACTCGACACCTCCAACCAATCAGCGTAGCGGTGAAATTCCATAACAGTACCGTAAACAATGATGCCAGCGATCCGGAAATGTCAGAGTGTTTATCAATTAAGAAATGACCAAGCTGTAATCATGTTAGTACCATACTCGGCTGTTTTGCCTTTTTTTTTTTTTACTGGTTTTTACCATACTGGGATCAATCGTGACAAAAATTAACGATAATTATAAGGGGAAAAAAGTGTTATTTCCGTCAACAACATCTACATATTATTTACATGGGACTAGGAGATGGGCTGCTCGGCGAACGAACTCCGCTGTCGGCTCATCGGGGCTCAAAGTAAAATCAGGCCATAACACCATCGGTTCTGGTCTATATATATGACTATACTGCACAATATCAGTTTGGTGATCATGGTACGAATATCAAAAATAATGCTAATGATAATTATAGATCGGGTATAGTATGTACGATCATATCTAGTGCGCGTGTTTTATTTATTGGTGTTGTTGGCCGTATGCTGTGTCCAGCTTCATTTGTGCAATATACGATACGCTGTGTACATACAGGGCAAATCGTTGGTAAGATTGTGTCAATTTGTGGTAGGGCAACGCGGCGGCCTAGTGATCCTTCTATTGTAAATGTAGCGTTTCAGTCGCGTCAATTATACCATCAAGCAACGATCAGTATTTGCTAGCGGTTAATGTTGGTATAAATGAAAAACAGAACACTAATAATAGACAGGGCTCAATTAGACCACAATGCCACTAAGAGAGGATGGCTGTCATGAACTAATAAGGCGCGAAAGGACAGTGACAAATACAGCCGTAGTTACATAGTGAGGCAAAATAGAAATACGTTTTGTCAATGGAAATGAACCGAATCGTTGCGGTGATAATGGCAGTATTACGACCTCCTCCTCCCCCCCACTACCTTTCACTGCTGCTGGGTCTTTACCCCGACTAAGTTGGGTACATCGCTTATATTCCCGATCACGGAAGCTGACTTGAAAACGCAAGCCGTACTGGCTGTACACAATATGTGGTAGACGACATCGAGCTTGAATTTAGCCCGCGAAAAGGCGTTAGCATAAAAGCGACTACTTGTAACCTTTTGATGGCGGGTGGACGTCTGTAGTGTATAACGTAGAGTTATCGGTGGGCAACACAAAATGCACCGAAACCAGTTCGTAAGACTTACTAAGCTATGGCTCACATGCAATATAAATAGACAATCGTATAACAATCGAACTTCACAAAGCCTGGCATAACCGAGTAATACTATGTAATAAACTAAATAAAACAAAAATTACCTGCAGTTAATAGTGAAGGTTTCTCACAATTTTGGATGAAACCCCACGTTTAGAACTTACAAAATAGAAATTTAAAAATGTTCAAGAGCGTGTCAAGAGAATTAGTTATTGATACGATCATAGGTTGTGCTTATAGAGCAAGCCTATTAAATATGCGATATTTGACTTGCATGAATTAGGTTTACAACAAGCATTTCTTTTTCATACTAATATTTGTTGATGCTTGCCACGTTCAGATTGTCGTCGCCCCTGCAACTGAAGCGGCCGCCCACGTTACCGGACGTGGTCTAGGTTACGCTACCGAAGGCGTTGTTTCCTACGGCCAGGGATATGCTGCTCATGATGCCCCCTGACCTATGGCCATGCTCCTTTAGCCTATGCTGCAGCCACCTCTATGGCGATTAAGGCTGCCATTTCATACCCCCTCAGTCATACTAGTTCGGGTATGAGTTCACCAATGAGTACGGTACTAACAATCTGACCATTACTTCTCCGATGACCATAATAGCAAAAAAAAAAAGACGCTACTCGTTCACTAACGTTTACGGCATCTTGCATCACGTTATGCCTATTAATGATAATCTCGGTTTCCGCACCAGCATCAAGACCAACGAGTTCGAAACCGCCTTTTTGGCTCCTGCTGCTACTTATTGCAACTCTGCCCCTCTCGCTGAGAAGGCTGTGGTGTTTGTTACTGTCGAAACTGTGGCGATTCCCCCCCACCCCCATCGAGGTCTATGCCCCCGGAAGCGCCCTCCATTGAAGCGAACCCGGCAGGAAATACGCGAAAAGGATTATTTCGCCCACTTCCGTGTTTCCCGATGAAGTGTACTGATAATATCATATCTTCTTTATTTTATTTCAGTAAAATCCCATACGAATTTCACCTATGATATCCATAACACCGAGAAGTTATAGTGATCAATGCTCGTAGGTTTACTCATAAGTTGCCGTATTATAAGCGAACATGCTTATCAATGGCGCAGCCAGGAGTTCGCTGTCGAACTCACTCACTACTGGCCACAATTGGAGCTGATCTCTTAGGTGTGGAAAGGAAAGGGCAATTTTTTATGCTTCCTTCGAAGTAGGATAGACGTTGCTACAGAGGCTTGGTCGTTGCTCGCTAGGCTAGCGAAACTGGCCTGTAAGCCTTCTTCAACGGTTGGAACGCAGAAACAGGCTAAGTATTGCGTACCTATCGGTCTGTGTGCATACGATTAAGTGTATCAAATGAAAGGAAAACAAATACGTTCTATCTGTCAAAGAACCGCTGGTATCACTGTTGATATGACTCCTTATCGTTTTTGCATTTGCTTTTACTGTGGGTATTAAAACCGTTGCGCAGTTATTGCATCATTACTGCTGCAGTATAGTGCTATCATTATTATATTAAGTTAACTATTTTACGTTTACGTCATTCTTATAGAATAAGCAGATTTACTGCCAATTTTCGCAAATGTAAGTCATTGTTCCAATAGAGGAAGCAGATATTCATTTTGATATATCTGCCTTCTTTCTCCGTCTTTATATAAACGTCTCTTTCTTCTTCTCCCTCCGGTTAGCTCTCTGTTCTACTTTCTGATTATTTCGAATCGTTTCGTAGTAAGCTCGCTCTGGCGCCTCCATTCCCTCTCATTGCTTCGCTTGTCGTCTTTTTTGATGGCGGTAACGCTGGCCCAGCGGAGTACCCATGTCACAGCTCACGGTGCCGACGCGTCAACGAGACCAGAAACCTGCGTCCATCACGCCATACGTAACATAAAAAAAGCGAGCAACTTGTTTTTCAAGCTGTCGCCATTCGATGGTACGTGGACCCTTTCCACGTCGTTGACTGTCGGCTACGTCTTGGCTGTCCAGCTACATACTCGGCGTTCTCCGGCCAGGTGCCCCCAGAGACACAGCGTGTGCGCGTTACATTACCGTCCTCAACGACGCTGTCGTCGTTGACGACAAAAACTCAACGACTGGTGCTTGTTTATTCTGGTGCTAAGCAGCATCCGGTTCAACGGCGCCATAGAATAGCATAAGTCAAATTTTTTCGAGAGAAGCGAATAAGTAGTTTGACATCAGGGTAGTCGTAACGGTCGATATGTGCTCGTCATTATCGTTATTGGTGGTCGCTAACGGTAGCCAAGCCTGTAATAGTGCCGGCGGCACTTCGAAACCTAGTCAGGTGCTATTTGTCCAGACCATACTCGTACTTATCATTTCGATGATTGCTGGTGAGTAATTTGTACGGCTTATCCATTTAATAAAAGGCGAGATTGTGTGCATGAAGTCAACTTCTCGGCGTATTCTACACGTTTTTTAAGTTTTTCGAATGTACATAGTTCGAATAAACAACGACGACCAGGAAACGCGGTTCGCATTAGACGGTGGAAATCAATATTGACGGTATGACGGATGATATCACAATAGAAACTGTAAAAAAAAAAGCCAGTTTCGAGGAACAAGTGTCTAGTGCAGGAAATATGTGCAGTAACTACATCGCTTGTGCGTTTCGGCGATACAACAACAGCTGACTAAGCTCACTAAGCTCTACATGCATTGCCTGTCTTGCTACGAAAACACATTTGAAATTACAAAAACAGGAGTGTATAATAGGACGGCAGGAAACATCACCTCCAAGTTCTCGTCTCGGTGTTATGCGAGCTGCACCTCGATGTTGTTTTCCACTGCACGCAGTCAAAGGACAATTGACCTTTGATCCAATGCCTCGTTTTTCCGCGCGCCCAAATGACCAGACAGCACACTTTCGCCCAAAGCCTTCGACCTGTGACATTAGCTGGGCATCCGCAAGCCAATAGTAACGAGCAAGAATTCACAACGCTGGGTCTCGTTTACAAACCAGGGAAGATACAACAGCATGAGAAGTTTTTCGTAACCAAATGATGTACTGTCAAAAAAACCTGTCCTCACTCTGAAAATACAACGGTCTTTATTAACTATCCTACTAGACTTACTTCGCCTTCCCAAAAAAAGTTAACTAGCGATTAGCCAGGTCTATTTGCTCTGGATTTTGATATTTTGTTCTAATTTTCGCTGCTCATAATTTGAAACTCACATATACTTTTCCTTTTTCATTGTTTTACGTCTACGAACTTACGAATGCTAGCTTGCGAACGACATAATCAAATAATACATTTCGTATATGGATTTTCTTTTATTCTACCTACGAAAAATCAAAGCGATCCCCCAGAGAAGCTCTAAGACTTAGCCTGCACCCTATGTATCTCGATGGCGGTCAGCATAAAACAATGCATGAATTGAGCGTAAATTTTCGATAAAAATTACCCACGTAGGCAGAAAGTCTGACGTTTTACCTTCAATAAACGATACGAAAAAAAAAAAAAAAAAAAAAAAGAAAGATACCTTGTTAGAATCTGCGATAAGAAAATAATTAGCATAAATAGTATCATTTAACGAGAGTCGTCGTAATTGCTTATTTGAATATTCTTGATATTGTCGATATGTCCATTGAGATCGATTGGTGCGCGCAACAAAAATGTGGCAGGGGCCATTATCAGATGGTTTGTTGTATACTGCCTACATAGCCCATAAGGATGTCCTGCTTGCCTACACATGCTAGCCAATAAAACAAAGCGCGCTTCCTTTTCTTATTCGCCGCGTTCTTCCGGGGGGCGAATCATGATACAATGGTATCATTATCTAGCTTTGGAAGATGACTGCAACTAATCAAGACGTTAGAGACATATATGAGCTTCTTTCTGCTGATACCGTCGTGGTTTAGTCGCTGTGAATAATTGAAAGGAGATATGTAACCTTTGGTACCTGCGATAAATTTCTTCATAATCAGTGCAAAATTGCATTTGTGGGACTTGAAAAAATTCACGTGACAAAGCGTTCAGTGTTTCGAGAAACGTCAAAAGCATACAGAAACACATATACCGCTATATACGAACTAGTAAACTAAAGATTAAATAGCCATTAGTCTAATACTGCTTCGAATAGGGATCTAAAATAAGATCTTGTGCGAGTCGAAATACCGATGCGTAATAAAGGAGTGAACATACAAACATATAATAAACCAAAACTAAGTGCAACAATATCCTTAGGACTGTTTACTTCGAGGCACTAATAGTGTCATCATTTAGTGGCCTTGATTACTATCTATTGCAAATTGTACGAATTATGTTTCATCGTAGGATTTTGTTCGGTGTGTGCCGAAGGGTACTCATGTGTCGACCCATACCTACCCCATCTTACTGAGTAGCCGTAGAATAGAGCCGACACTTTGCCTTGGCAATTCGCCTTGTGATACGAGGCAATTTCTAATTACTGATATAATAATTTTGTGATGCTTTCAAGTATCCTCAATAATTCCAAGTTTTTCTTTCTATAGTTAGTTTTTAGTAGAGATGTTAATTTATAAATTTACTACCCTGTGTTTAATGGATCTCAGGTGCTATCCAGTCGGGTTGTGACACAGACGCCGTCGACAACTGCCTGGCTGGAGTGTTATTTTCCGCGCAGGATAACCGATCTTACTTTTGGAAAGACGTTTCCGATATTGAAAACTTGTGCAAACAGGTCCCAAATGTGCCACAGTGCGTTAAGAAGGCTACCGAAGATTGTACATATGGTGCTAAGAAGTTCCTCGATTCGTTCCTGGTGTGTGTGCAGTTCTTACCTAAATATCTTACTACACTCGCATACGATTTAAGGAAACGAGAACTTGAATAGCCCTTGATTATCCGAGTTTTCATATACTGGCACGGTGCAGTATTAATAAATTTGGAATCTTTAACACGTAGATATGAGCTTCAAACAACGTCATCTCATTCTTAGTGTGGCACTATATCGAAAACTTCGTTTTTCGGGCTGTTCAGTTAAAACCTAATTTTATATGAAATGGGAGCTCTAGCGTCTTGATCATGTGCAATGTCTACATCCATCTTTAACTTTCAGAAAGGCTTCGAGGTAATCTTGCGGTCACAGATTTGTTCGGATACTCTTGAGGGTGTACGGAAGAGGAAGCAATTTGTCAATAGCTCGAGCTGTTTGAGGGCAAAATTCGATAACGGCTGCATGAAAAGTTACATAGACGCGCTCGATAAAATTGTGACGCTACCTAGCAGCGCAGACAAGATTCGCAAGGCATGTTGGTACGTTTTAAACTAAGCTACGTACATCTGAAACTTTTCAACGTCCATATCGTAGTAGTAAATTTCATCATTGATACTACCGGAACCATCTTGATGCCTTATCATATATAAGCTATTAGGTATCAACATATCCAAATTAGATAACAAATCAATGCGCCTTATGCTGAAATGGCTAATGAAGTTAACTTGAATGTAAGTTTTTCAACTGAATCAATGAAAGCGAAATATTTGACTTTCAGAGTTGATATTCAACATTAAACTAAATAGAAATTAGAGACGCATCAATGTTTCTTGGTTATTTGGTGATGCGTTGGATTATTTGGTGATGTGTAATATGTGATTAAACGCTTTTGGTTAGAATCCATTCGATAGAAGGAACGCCTCGCCTAGTGTTTTCAACAGATAAACAAGGGGGTCCTTTACGAGATTTTTTGAGGGCATAGATTCCACACAACCACATTTGTGCTATGTATACTAAGTGTGATATAACAAACGGAATTATTTACTACCAGCTTCAAGCTAGAAACGTCCGCTTCATGAAATAACCTCGAATGAAAATTAAAGTAATCTTTGAGCGTAACTGAAGTTAGCTAATAGATACTCTAAGTTAAATTAGCCTCTTTAATTAGATTTCTTTTTACAACCACTCGGGTTCAACATGTTACTTTTCTAATGCTATCTTCAGAGTGATGCCATACAGAGGGAACGCCCCAGCGGACACGTCCATACTCCCTAAGGAATCCCTTACAGGTTTTTTAATTCCTTACGGCCTTGAAGTGGTCCTGTTTGATATTCGCCTTTAAGTAATTAGGACGTTTGGTAAACAGGGGGCAGTTCATACACGTAATGAAGCTTGAATAGAAATTTGATTGTACAAGATATATAAATAACCTAATTTCTTTCGAAAAAAAACTGCTTCTCTCTTTAGCGATCCAAGTGCATAAGCACCGTAGTTTTTTTTACGAATCTCTCCGATTAGCTCATCTTAGCTAAATTTGACCAGATTAGGCTTCACATGGATGAGGTAATGTACCTCTGAAGGTAAACGAAGACTTGAGACATTAGTTCATATAAATTGGAGCCCATAAGAGCTGAATGCTAAGCTAATGAAGTCCATTATGTAATCGGTCGCAGCATTGTCCCCAATGTGCGAGAGATCTTCGGTATGCTAGACACAGAAATATTAATCTTTGTGGGCTACATTACCGAAGTTCGATTTAACACATACCGAGCAATTTTTACACTGTGTCCTACGTAAACACGCCCACGAATATACAGCTCTTACCCTGTAACTATTAAAAGATAGCACGAAATTCTTGTCATGTATTGGTCTTCAGTTTGCATCGCTCATACCGGGTTTGTTTGGCTGACCATGTAACGCCCATTTGCGGTGTAGAAGCAGCCTCTAACTATATCCAATTCAATTCAATGCTGTCCGCTGCACCGATTCGGCAAGTGTGTGGAATTGCCTACGCTGAAGATACGTGCTCCAACATTACCCTGGGACAGCACCAGAATCCGGTGTATGCAGCAATGACACCTAACGTTACGAACGCGAATGGCACCATACTCAGTCGTTTACTCAAGATCCTCGTCGATACGGCACATACTGAACAACCAACTATTGATTTCGACCTCGACGAAGCACTCGGTTAGTGTTTGCCTCAATCATGTACTCAGCCGTCATTAGCCATGGTCCTAACGTGGGCCTCGACTCAGGTTAAGCACCATGACACAGCGCTAAACTTTATTCGCCTTTCATTTATCTACATTTCATTTGAAAGATGAGTGAAATGCTTTATTTATATACTTTTTATCTGTCCATATAACTCAGATTCCATCCCATGTAATCCATTTATGAATACATACGTTTGATTTTCAGAACCTGAAATTTGATTAGAATGTTCAATCTAACCTAGAAGCTAGTTTTCCACCTTTGCGTAAGTTGTCCGCAAAGCAGATCCCGTAAAATATAATACATTCAACTATTTTTTGATCAGCAATCAAGGACTTTGAAGCTCATTAAGAGATCTATTTTATTTCAGAATACACAACTTGCACGGCTGAGTCAATCGATGAATGTTTCGAAAATGTTCTTCTAACAACTAAAGTAAACTCATCTTCGCCGTGGGGTTTCTCTTCATTAGCTCACATTAATGGCTTTTGCGCTCGACTTCAGAGAATACCTCGATGTCTTCGTAGTCGTACGTCGATGTGTCATACCGTCACTAACGAATTCTTCAAACTAGTCAAAGTAAGCACGATCGTCGACACCTCAATAATTGTGTAAACATATAGTGCAAAAAAAAATTTGAAATACGACGATATACAACGTTTTGTAGGGTCGCAGGCTTTGGCATTGCGATTGCTCGAAACAGTTTTACGCAGGTGTATTTCCACGAGAAGCGTAAGAAGAGTATGTAATAATTTGGTAAAATACGAGGTACATTGAGGGCAAAGGCTCGGCCAAATCGTGTCTTGGTCTAAAAAGCTATACATCAATTATGCTCGTACAATTCAACTGACATATCGTTGACGACCAACGAGTACCGATGAATTGCCAATTGTCCAACACAGATATTGCTTTTAGATCATATTGTTTATTCTTTGTTGAATTAGGAAGAAATGGAACTAACGGCGAAGTCGAGCTTCTGTCAGAAAGGTTCACGGAGGGATTTCTTCATCGAGAGCGGGCGATGTGTCTTTGAGCAGGTGGATAACAACTGTACAATACAAATGGCTCGCGCTCTTCAGGCTGCAACAAAGGCACCAGTGGGAGAGGCACGCAGAAAGCTTATATGCTGGTATGTGACTTTTCGAATCAGCTGTGATCGATACTTAATTTCATATACAGATTTCTACTTATGAGTCATTCCTTGGGCTGTATGTAAACAAAACCAAGCATTTTACTCTGTTCGTTGACTTACCAACGATCATTTTTATTCCGTATGGCCTTCTCCCATTTTGATTACACCACAAAATTGGGCTTTCAGGCGCTCAACAGTCACCTTCAAACGATCGTTTCCCAATAATTGCCGAAGAAAGTTCGGATTTAATAGTGTCTAAAAACGACCACACGACGTAGAAACAGTGGCAAAATGTAAAAGAAGTACTAGAACTCAGCTGAACGACTTTATCGGTCATAGGTATTTGCCAACGGATTTGGCACATTTTCAAATGAGATGCTCGCTCAATAGCTTGATTAGTTTACATCGAAGTTGGAATATATCTTAGAGAAATCCGAACGTACTATGACCGCTACTGCAAGCGTATGCGTTTGCCGTCATTTTATAAAGGTATGTTCAACCCATTGCTAGGCCCAGCAACAAAAACCGCTTGGTCAGTATTGCACAATTATATCTCATGCATCATAGGGCATATTTTTAATCTTATCCCAGTTAATCGGCGCACGATTTTCCGGCTAAATGCCACTATGAGTGCAATTGTTTATTCTAAATACATTTATGCTAGTTGAATAGCAAGAAGACTACTTGTTTGTCCACTGGCGGTCAAGAGTCGTATTAATATGAGACGGAGGCATGGGCGAAGGTTAGCTCTCCGGCAAAATTGCAAGTAGGAACAACAAAAGCAACTGTCGATTACAACTGGGTTCTGTTGAAGGCTGTTGTTGTGGTTGTCATCATTAGTTTTAGCCCTCGACAGATGACGGTCTTCCGAAAGCGTCATGTCCCTATTCCTCGCGCGCTACGTTTGTCCGCGCGGACTACTGCTGCTGCTGCGAAGGTTCCGCAGAATAACGCGATTATCGATTGCAGCATTCTATAAATGCCACCTTTTTTTTTTTTGATTAGCAGCAACGACTTCAATCGTAATTACTCATTTCACGGTGTGATTGTTATTACTATTTTGTACATGCATAAGTATTCTAGTTATTAACAACATTTTAATCTGTGTGTACAGCCTTAATTATTTGACAAAGTAGCAGACAGCTGCTATGGCAGAATTCACTAAGTAGTCCCGTCACTCGATTGTGCGGAATGAGTAATTTTTATGTGGGGCAAACTTCCAGCCGAGTAACGGATGTCCCCCCGGAACCCCGCCGATCGGGTGAGCCAGTTGGTAAAAATGGCGGGTAATTAGAATGCACTTATTTGCTGTGAGCTGAATAATGTCTACGATCACTAATAGCTTCGTTAGCTTGTTGCTTTTGTACCTAGACTGAGATAGACAAGTCCGAGTCATTTACTATCCACCACAGTACTAGGAAAACTAAATATTTTATCGGAATGGTACAGTTACTAAATAAACAATTGAAGATACCAATTGTCGGAAGAGAGATATCCTTGGAATATGTATTCTGCTCTATTTTATATTACTGGACTATCACAGCGTTATTTTTTTTGAGTCGCCGGACGGGAAAAGATCTGCGATATTTATTGACATAATGGTACAGGAAAAATGTCGCGGTATAGCTTATAAAGTAATTGAAATAGTAGTTAATTTGTTAAAAATTATATATGTATAGTTGAAATCTGCGTGCACCTTTTTTGCGCAATGGTCACTGCCATTGTTTGAAATCGTGTCAGGGTACTTCGAAAGGAATGGATAACGGGGCAGCACCTCGTCGTAGAATGAGGTGTGCCTACACCCGGTTTAGAACATGGACCAATTCACATGTTTCTAAATGCAGTAAACGAATATTTCATGATTGCGGGGACTCGGTCTCTATGTTAGACTATTTAAGATCAAAGAGTACTAAGGTAAGAGGACCATCGGTAACTAACTATGAAACATCTGTTAACAATAACAGCTGAATCCGCTATTCTTATCTAGCCTGCTATGGCACTCGACAACGAGAGAACTCAATGGGCGCTACTCTGTTTACAAATAGCGCTAGCAGTTAAAGTAGTCCGAGCATCAAACAGGAAGCCATCCTAATGCTTGCCAAATCGCTGCCATGGGACCTACTGGCTAAAAAAGGAACTGAACGCGACTTCGAAAGGAAACTCACAACAGTTCTAACCGCTACATTGCGGCAATGGCAAGAACAATGAGCCTGGATTAAGGGCATCGACACGCACCTTGATTTTGGGCATCACCACATGGAATGATTGCCCATATAGAGAATATACGTATCACATGGCCCAAGTCCTATCGGACCACGGCTAGTTCCAAAGATACATACTGTGAAATTTAGCAAAACACATATGGCTAGGTGTGTTCTCTTCGTGGCTAGAGGGAAAGATGAAACTGAGCACACGATCTCCCACTGCGCAACATAAAATCCGACGTGGCAAGATCTCGCGTATTGGACGAATTTACACTGGACGAAGATCAAAGAAGTCGTTGAAAGCATAGTGGAGTCAGAAAAGTTTCGTGCCATTAGCTTGGCTTTTCTCAACGACATCATTTGAAAGAAGCAGAAGCTAGAATGTGAAAGATGATGACGAGTCCTGCGCGTACCCCGAGGCAAAAGAGGTTTAGACAGTACTTCGTTAACTGATACACTCTTACAGCTGTCGAAGAACTACGATAGGTTTTCAGAGCCATGTGGGGGTCCCCCGAAAGACTGCGGTTCGTGGCAGTCACTCCTTGCCGTATAGGACCAACAACACCCGGAGGTGATCTGCCCTAAGCTCAGTAATATTCACACAGATGAACAGTACGAAAAATCACCAGGGAAAATGTGTTCGGGTACGTCAGACAGTTCGCAAACAAGTTTTTCATAACTGCTAAGAGAAAAAAACTAGGGAGCAAACACTTTCCCGCTGTGCCATCGATGGCACAAGCTTCAATCATAGTCACATGTAGTTCCTAAAACATCCGGTCTCCTGAAACCATGTTACGCGAAATACTGGCTAGAGGCGTCATAAAAAGGCTAAAAGGCGTATAACGTAAAACGGCGTAACGCTACCATCGTAAGACAACGCCAGATACTTATAAGGATTGTATGTTTGTGGTGTCTGTAATAACCGCTGTTGTAATGTTCACAAATAAGACACTCCGGACAGAAGGTAAGCCATAAACTAAAGGTCGCGCTTGGCCTTTATGTCAATCAGCCTAACTCTAGGACATACCGAGAAAATCTGGACAACTACACCTGTATGATCCAGGTAAATTCAATGATTTCACGAGGCCAAAAACAAATATACGTTTACATAATATAACTAACATTATTCGGTAAACAAAACATATTATTTGAACCTGTTCATATCACAGAAGAGCTAGAATAAATTCCAACCCATTTTTGTGTGTTTTTTTTTTTTAAAAACAGCTGGCGTTCAAGTTTATAGCTTTGCCTTTTGCGTTTTAGTTTGACGTCCAACTACTCTCGCTGCCTTCTGGATGTCATTGAGCCTGCATGTGGATCCTCTGCAGCTGAGCTCTTCTCATCGCTATTGCGAAGATTAGCACTCCCCGGCCAGAGTCCCTGTGAATGCGAGCTTGGTGTGGCCGATACACCAATTCCAGAAGGGACAGTTATGCGCATATTTGTCAATCTGTTTGAGGATGTATGATCTTATTATAATAGGTTATACATCGGCCATGAGCCATACGGAAACGTACTAACAAAAAAACTACTAGACCTGTATGTGAGCCTGAACTTGCAACAGTGTTAATCAAGCGCTAAAAATAATAGTAGGGTTGAAACTGTCCACAAGGCAATTGTCCAAGTAACGGTAAAAAGAACATGCAGTGTCCATGGAAATTGTCCTGAATCCTTCAACTTATGTCACTGATTTTATTTATTTCGGTTTTTTAGGGGGCCCTCAAGCTGCTTTCTGCCAAAAACCTTTCAGTGCCTCTTTTGTTATTTCCAAGTAGATTATAGTCACTTCAATGCTAGATAGAAAGTGTGATAAATTCAACCACATTTTGCTTAGACATAAGCATTTCGTTAAGCTTTCTTATAATTTAACCAAAAAACATGTACCTAATTAAGGCGTTTTGAGAATTGTGTTATATTTTTTGTTGTTTAAAACAACAAAATTCTGCGGCATCCGTCAATAAAATGCCAAAACTGGCTTTACTATCATACATACACGATTTAAATCTGCATTGGTTTCCCATTTAGAATTCTCGCACGAGTATACCTCGATCAAACAGATGTCTCATGTATGCAGTAAAACTCTGTATATGAGAAAATGGTTGTACATATGTAAGATGGGATTAGGTACACTGTGCAGGCCAGTGTATTTCGACAATTTTCAGAAACGCTGCATAACAACGTGAAGTTCTATAGGTGCGAACGAACCACTTGCAAGTAATGGGTGCCACAAACTTTTCTGTGCAAGGACTTTTTTTTTATGTAGATGATTTAAAATTAGATCAATTCGCATTGCAGTACAGTAAGTGAAAATTAATAAATTACACAGAATATTATCTAGACTAGTCAGTATACACGATTACTTTTAGTATGATAACTTCGATTTTGGATTTGAAAAGGTATCAGCTTTATTTAAACTGAAGGCATCGATAAAGTGAGCATCCACCCTTTTCGTATGTTAATTTCAATTTTTTTTGATGCTGTTACTTAAACCACACTTGTGGTAGAATTTTAATGTCACTTGATGGGACATGCAAAGTGGAGTACTTCTTAAGGCGAATCATTCATAACTACTTTCAAGTTATTTTCTGTTTATTTCTATCCGTGTAATAGAAAAAGCGTGTTTTTTAAGCAAGTTTCCCAAAAATTGTTTTTTTTGACCGGTATGTGTTGTCGTACATTGTATATGTAAGGCCGTGAAATTGGTATAACTTTGTGTAAAATGATTTATAGAATAAATGTTTTTCGTAATGCGATAAGTCGTCGTCGTCGTCTTGCTCCTTTATATAGAAAAAAATTACCCCCTTTTTGCCTTTGTCCGACAGATTTCGTGTACAGACGTAGATTCGTAAGCTTTGCTGGGAAGAAAAAAATAGTAATATATAAATAGTGGCAAGAAAATAGATCACATTGGCAGTATCAGCTACAAATTCAAATTAACAAATATCGAAAACCTTGTAAAAAAAAAATGGTACCGAGATATCCATCAGCAAAGGGATCTTAGTGAAATCGATTTATGGCTGATACGCCGGTCTGATAGTCAGGTTTACACAGGTCAGTGTATTATTTGTCCTAGAATGTACCTAATACAGTTGTCTGTCTCTCAAGCCAAAAAGAGCGCAAAACGCTCGCGAAAGTCGCCGAGTCAGCCGACCAGCACAAACTTGTGAGTAAACGTGTTTACATATAAATAGCCCCTTCAATTTAGGAAGGAACTACTTATAGCTAATACGCTAAATTGTAACTTCTTTCTCCAATCAATTCTGAACTTTTACCTTGCTTCGTGCAGGTGTTCAAATTATGTCTTCACCATATTGCAATGGCAACCCTGAGCCCCAAACTGGAAGCATTTTATACGCCATCATAAGTTAAGCTCTTACGGCCGAGAAGTTATCAATCAGCTCCAACGTATAGTTTCAGATAAAATCCTTATACATTGTATTGTAACAAAATGTGTGAAATTATGAGACAGCTGGATCTGTGTACTCAAAAACGAGCCATTTTCAAAATGTCAGTGTTAGCACAAAGCTGGAAATTCCGGTAGTCCTCTATAGGTTCTATAGGTGAATAAACTTCGAACGGGTTAGTAAGTAGCTTCTAAACTTGCAGGCTAAAAAAAAAAAAATTAAACTGCTTGCAAATTTTTACCAAGAGTTAATGTATGCACCGCCGTAATAAAAGCTTTGAGTTATGAGTGTAATATCATTACTTGATTTACTCGCTTATGGCCTATGGATATTCTCTTCATCCGCTTCTGCTGCCAAGTCAATTTCATCATTTCAGCGTATTGATAAAGTTAATAAAATATGCTGAAAAAGCAGAATACGTTTATTTGACGTAATTACGTTACATTCGACCCATCTTCGTTAATTTAGTCAAATACCTATTCATTCTTTGGCTTGACCGTCGATAGTAATAATAATAATAATGGAAAAAGAACGTCGTGGTAGTGTTTTCAGTTTTGCTTATTTTACTCTATTCAAAAGTTACAATGTGTCCCTAAAAAAATACCGGATAATTAAATCAGACTCTGACTTAAGTTACCTGCGTTTTGGTTTAATTCCATGACTTGCTCTAATTGACCGATCCCACACACAATACGAAATCTTCGCCAAGCTAAATCTAATAGAAATAGAATTACTTATTTAATGTATTTGTAATCTATTAGTGGATGAGGAAAAATTTATTTTCTTAACTAAATAATATCTATAGTATTTATTTTTGGGTTACACGCGCCTTCACAATTGTCGGTTTTATCACAAACAATCAAAGAACTTCTATCGTATTGTAGTTAATTTTTGGAGTCCATCAATCCATGAGACTGTCGTTTGGTCTCTATAATTGCTCATGATGAAGTGATGCCCAGTAGACGCCGACTTATGATGAAGTTCGAACCGATCCCTTCTATGTACCAAACTGATAGTAGTCATAGCTGATAGTAGTCATAACGAATAAGCTTGCAGCTATACTGATTTAAATTTTACTGTTGGCGAAAAAATAAATTAATAATAACGAAAGGAAGGGATTTAAGCATAATTGGGATTCGTTTTCTAGGTCTATCGGAGGAACCTCACGTAATTCCAGCAAGGCCCACCCCCAAATAGACTTTTGATGAGAACAAGCCCTTAATGCTAATAAGGCCTAAAAAGAAATAGATTCTAAGCTCATTTTACAAAAGTAGAAAGTATCGAATTAAAATACAGATGAAATTTATTTATTTATTAAAAATATATTTTGTGGGAAGATTGCTGTTGGCAACTCTCAGTCCTTTCAAAAAAGTGCCCTTTGATATTAGACGATATCTACGTACGTATATATGAACGTTAGCGCAACATTGTATTCAAGTTGGACTAGAAACTGAAATTTTAGATCGATCACGGTTACTGAATGCCGTTAGTGTTCATCTATCTGTTTTTTCGTAGGATCTTAAAAATCTACCACCAAACCAATTCTAACTTCTAGTGATTTACTGTGTGAAAGGAACACCCTTCAATAGGTGCTGACAATAACGAAGAGAGTGAATATCTGAAGACTCAGCCCTCTTCTGTCAGCTTTTCTGCAGAGATATCCATTTCCGGTATTGTTGAGCACTTTTAACGCTTATGCCCATAGTCGATTCGCGAGATTGTACGAGAACTCGCCATGCTCCATTTTTTCGCCATTTTTTTAGCTTCGGTATCGGTATTGTTGTCGAACAGAAGTTTTTTCTCTGTGAAAATCATTTATGGCCCGCCGCTTGTAGCAAACAAGCACAAGTGCAATATGATCGTAACTCGAATAGGTATAATTCATCGAGACAAAGTTCACGAATATGATAGTAATTAGGTAAAAAGGCGGTAAAACGTGGAAAAATGCTACCTGAACTTCCATGTACTACACAAAATAGAAAATTATCGTCTGCCAGATGACGTCACTGTAGCTGATCGAATTCCTGCCCACTTCGTGGGCTCTTTTTTCGCTAGTTCGGCGTGAGAGGCAGCAGCCCCGGGGACATAAGGGATACGGGCCCACTGGGCGTTTCACTAATAGCCCGAATGGTCTAGAATAAGTTTCCGTAAACGAACGTACCTAAAAGCAAAGGGAATCTATAACAGCTGTCGTTTGTACGTTCAACAGTGTGGGGACCCGAGTCAGGCAGTTGGAATTTCCATCAGCATTAGGATCGACGGAAGTCATCACCGCTATATCATGGTGTCAGGCCAACATAATTACCTGCTGGAGAGAAAATCAGTGACTATGTTCGAAAGCGGCCACATGAGTCACAACCAAAACCTTACAGCGCAAAGGAATATGTGATGCCTGTGAGATAGCTCTTAACAGAAAGGGCGAATGAATTAAACGGACAGTTAGGAGAAGAACGGTTGGAGAAATGGCTGTATGCTGGAGCCCCGCTCTTTGAGACCCCAATTTTTTGCTAGCTTTTACTGTTAACCCTTATATGATGTATCATTCTAGCTAGTTACCCATAGTAGTGAGCGAAAATGTTTCAATTTAATTTATTCAGTAGAGTTCAGTATTAGCATTTTCATGTCGTTCTATGACGGCTAGCCTTGGTGTTCTCTATCAACTTGAGTATTTATGACCGCATTTGTGCAATGCCGACCACTATATCCTATCTGTAACAGTTTCACTTATCTATTTCATGAATGATCAACGTACGATTCAAAGGAACAATAATTCTATCGGCACTAAGGATAAACGCGTTTGGTCGTTTGATAATATAATTGAGTTTTTTTTCTCGCCGCCAGCTTCATGAACGGCAAGCTGATATTCTATCATATCTCTTCATACATCGTACACGACACAGTTTAGATTGGTATCGCGTTCTTCGCAAAAAGATATCCGGAGCCCTCACAGATTCTTCTCTACGCATATTTTCTTATCCTATTAAAGCAGGTTATCCCGTTTAATATGTGAAACTTTCGAAAACGTAAATTTTATCGTCTGTTCAAAATGAAACGACGAAATAGACACGAGTTATTTCATCCTTAATCAGATCGCTACCTTGTTAATGCCCCCTACGCTACACTAACGACTAAACATTTAGAAGCATGAGATATATATACACTATATAGGGGCAGGCCGGCCGCTTGATTGATCAAAATTTTATAGAATTTATTTAAGTCTTGTTTTTTTTTTTAAATGTTTTTTCATGTTCGAAAGGTTCGTCATTCACTTGCTTCTTATTCTGTTCTCATACTATTTTCTCAAAAAAAATCCCTATCTTTGCACAATTAAATGGCGTCACAATTAAGTAATCGTAATAGTCGATGACAGAACATGTATATATATATATATACATATAGTAAGCTCGACAGGGACATTTCTTGTTTATTTGTCTTCAGGTCTCAGAATGATTGCTCCGAAGTCTAATAGAAGGTCCGCTTCTTCCGCTTACGTAGTTAACAGGGCATTTCATTATCTATTTGGGATGACAGCCTCTGATTGACTCTTGACTTCGCAAAAGCCACGTCAGAGGCTCGTAGACGCTCTATCATTTTTACAAATGTTGATTTAATACGCTAATTTCTTCCTTAGATAGTCACCTATTAACTGCTGATAAATAAGTATATAAAACAAACTGACGTAACTCGTAACTTGAGTCAGAAATCATGTTATGCTTAACTGTCACATAAGCCTAATAATAAGTGCACAACAGGCACCAGTTGTCCAGCAAGGGTATTGGTGCTAAAATATTCTAGCCTGGAGTAAATAATTGAATTCAAATCGTGCATTTACAAGGTACCGCTATTTAATCGACCAGATAGGCCAAAATGACTTTACAGTCGTTTCAGATCGACACTTTTTTTCCTACCTGTGCCCATATGCCGTGTCATGTTTAGTTCCAAAGTAAATTTCACTTACCTATACGACCTCATCTATAAGCACTATACTTGTATAGTGCGTCTCCTACAGGAAAAACGTCCATAAACCACCACCTGAAAAATACACAACCACAAGACAAGACAAGACGTTCCATGTCGTCCAATTGGCTTGTTTGAATCTTTATGGACAAATAAATCAGCACCGTGGCCTGAATAATAATATTTTTCTAGCGGTCCTGAAGGAGCCTCAGTTCACTGCTTCATTTGGCAGGATGTCGCCCGAGGTTTCTGATTATAAGTAGTTATACAAAATCGTTTCCAAAACATTCGGTTCTTTTTAGTTATGATAATCCCGTTGACTCTCGGACCTAACTTTGCCGTCCCTCCCTTTGTTACCGTTGTGGATGCAATTATGCTGATTGAA